TAGATGCTACAGTTTACTATGCTATGGTTGTTGGGTTACTTGGGGGGACTTTTTAGAGGCGTTTTAGTGGTAAAATACATGCGACGTCGAATGAATCATCTTAATTGTTTTTCGGCGCACAGTCCAGCAGCATTAAGTACACCACCATGCACCCCAGACTTTGCATCTTCCCAGACTGGTGCCCCGCCCCCATCAAACGTGGACTCCCGCTTCCCCCCACAACCAGCCCCCGGCACCCACCATCCTTCTTTCCGTTTCAATGAATCTAACTCTTCTAGGCAGGTACCTCGTACAGGTGGAATTATATAGGGTCCGTCCTTTTGTGAGTGGCTCTTTTCACTTATAGTGTCCTCAGGGTTTCTGCGTGTTGTCCCACGTGTCAGAATTTCCTCCCCCTTTAGGGCTGGATGACACTGCCTTGCACGGATAGACCCCACTTTGTTTATCCGTTCATTGGTTGAGAGGCACTGGGATCGCTCCCACGTCTTGGCTCTTGTGAGTGATGCCGCTGTGAGCATGGATACACAGATATCTTTTCTGGTTCCCGCTTCCGATTCTTTTGGGTGTATACCCAGAAGTGCAATGCTGGATTGTGTGGCTATTCCATCGTTTCATTTCTCGACGATCCGCTGGCCTGTTTTTTCACGGCGGCAACACCATGTTCCCTTCCCACCCACAGTGCACAGGGTTGCGATTTCTTCACACCCTCACCAACGGTTGTTGTTTTCTGTTTTGTTTTTTTACAATAGCCATCCTAATGAGTGAGAGGTGGTACACGCCAGCGATGCTGTTTTCATCTCATTTGTGCAGATGTTATTTATAACTTGGAGCTCTTTAAGTCATTATTCCTTGCTCTATTTAAACCCCCCCCCCCCCGCCCCAGCATCCCAAAACAGGGACATGAATTCTCCTCTCAAAATTATGCCTTGTGGCTACACCCAGCATTCCCAAAGGGCTCAGGACTACATAGGGAAATGTGCTGGATGAAGCTCTTGCACTGGGAGCCAGGGGGCTTGGGGTCAACCCTAGGCCTGCCCCTCTGAGGTCTGCGACCATGAGCCAGCCACTCCCCCCCTGGGCTTCTTACTTCCGGTCCATTAAAATGGAAACAATACTGATGCCTTAACTCCCTTACAGAATCGGAGCCCTGGAGATAAAAAGGCTCTTGGAAAGTCTACAGCAATAGCAAAACCTCTGAGTTTGTCAAGAAAAAAAAAAAAAAAGTCAAAAGAAAAAAGGGATGGGCCCCTGCTTCTTAGCAATGCACGTAGGCGATCTGGGAGCTCAAGTTCGTGGAAACAAATTGAATTACGTAGGAGGCAGCTCTGCCATTTGCAACCATGGATTGTTTGAAATCCTTTTAGAGGAAAATTAAAATATCTCACAGAGGGTAATAAAATGCCGGGTACTTTGAAGGCATAACTGCTCAGCTCTCTTGGGCAAAGAAATAATTAGGCATTTTTATTTAAGCCCTCCGAGCCGTCATTTTCTTTCATTGTCGGAGAGGGGAGAAAAACTGGTGTGGAAAATACATAAAAACTCTGGAAATTACCAGAAGATTAATCATGAAAATGTAGAAAACATTCAAAGTAAGTAAATGTGTAATTTTTAAAGCACAACGTAACACCGTACAACTGCAAACATCAGAAGTGGGAAGCCATACTAAGGGTGCCTTTGTTTCCAGATCAAGTCCCACCAAAGAGCCCGGGAGTGGGGAGCCTTCCCAGGCTTGTGGTGCTGGAAACATAGTTCTGCTTGACAAGGGGGGGGTGGGGGGGGGTAGGGTGTCTTGTGCCTTTGCCCTGTTGCACCAGACCTCACCATGATCCACTTGAAGGAAAGGCTGGAAAACGGTGGATTTTTCTCTCAGCTAGAGATCACCTGCTCTAGTCTCTCCATTTTACAGGTGGAGAAACTGGGGACAAGAGCTTAAGGTTCTGTCCTTCCTATGAATCCCTAAGTCTCAAGGCCAGCGCATTATAAATGTCAGTGACCCCACAGCGCTTGGGTGGGGTCCCTGGGCCTGAGCCCTAATTGTGGAAGAGGGACTTGGCCAGGATTACGTCCAGTCGCCATCCTGTTCCCTGCACAGCTGGTCCATGCCAGCGTCTGCCAGCCCCCACCTTCTGCCTGCCTGGGAAGCTCTTTGCAGCAGTATGACAGGGGGCTGAGGCTGAAGATGCAGAGTTCCTGGACAAGGCTGGCCTGAGACCCATGCAAAGCCGGTAATTGGGCGGGGGGGGGGGGGGGGGGGGGGGGGGGGGGGGGGGGGGGGGGGGGGGGGGGGGGGGGGGGGGGGGGGGGTGCGCTCAGGCAAGTTCGTGGGTAGGTGTTCCTCTTCTAAATCTCTCTAGGGTTTCGGTTTATCTGTGGTGCCTTTTACCACTCCCATAGCTACCTCTACCTGAGATGCTGTGCAGCAATTTTATGCAAGGATTTGAGCAGTGCACGCACGTGGGTGTGGGTACAGGTGGGGTGTGAGTTCACCTCCCACAGCCTCCGGCTGATCCCGCCATTGGCCCCCACGGAGGTGTCTTGTTTTTTCCTGTTAACCTGTGCCTCTCCCACCATTCTGACCCACACGGAGCCATCCCCCCGACAATGAGTGAGTGCCCACTGTATGCTGGGCTTTATGCTGGTCCTGAGAACCCTGCAGGGAAAGGAATATGGTAACTCATTTACTCAGGGGGAGACAGACCCATGAAGCAATCGTCAAAGACACTGAGATATTTGAGCTGGATCTTAAAAAGCAAGGAACGGCAGGGGGAGGGGGGCGCCTGGGTGGCTCAATTGGTTAAGCGTCCGACTTCAGCTCAGGTCATGATCTCAAGGTTCATGAGTTTGAGCCCTGCATCAAAACTCATGCTTTGGATTGGGATTCCCTGTCTCTCACTGTCCCCCACTTGTCTCACCTCCCTCTCTCTCTCTCTTTCTCTCTCTCAAAATAAATAAATAAACTTTAAAGGGGGGGCTGCATGGAGGAGTATGCCTTGCAAGGAAGGGGGCAGGAACAGCAGATGCAAAGGCACAGGGGCACGGATGGAACAGCTCATGTTCAGGCGGCCACACAAAGAAGTGAGAAGTGCAGGGGAGAGGGAGTCGATGATTTCACTGAGACCTGGGGTGGGGGGGTGGTGTTCATGCAGCCCGCCACCAGGCAGGGGGCCAGCACGTCCACAGCACTGAAGGGTGTGCGCCAAATCAGCGAGGAGAAGGACGGGACCCGGAGAATGGAAAAGTAAACTGTGGCTTCATCATAGAATGGAAACGATAGAGCAGTAAAAAGGAACAAACTAGCACCATACACACAGGTGCCTCTCGAAATGCAATACATGAGTAACACGTTTTAGAAGAATGTGTACAGTCTCCTTACATGGAGCTTTGAGCATGCAGAGCAGCACCACACATGCACGCATACATGCAGGAGGTGAAGCTACGTGTAACTGATCATTTTGACTTACAATAGCAGCTCCACTTGGCTGAACCTAAACGTGAGATCACAAGGGACAGTTTATCCATAGCATGGAATGCTACTCACCAATGAAAAGAGACAAGCTATTGGGGCACCTCGGTGGCTCATCTGTTAAGCATCTGACTTCGGCTCAGGTCATGATCTCACGGCTCATGAGTTTGAGCCTCGCATCGGGCTCTGTGCTGACAGCTCAGAGCCGGGAGCCTGCTTAGGATTCTGTGTCTCCCTCCCTCTCTGCCTTTCTCTCTTTCTCTTAAACAAACATTGAAATTAAAAAAAAAAAAAAGGGGGGGGTGGTGGGACAAGCTATTGACACATACAATAACTTGCCCGGACCTCGAGGAGATTATGCTGAGTGAAAAGAAGCCAGTCTTCGAAGGTTTCACATACTGTATGGTTGCATTTATAGAACAGGCTTGAAATGACAAAATGATGAAGATAGAGAACAGGCAATGGCTGCCAAGGCTCAGGGAAGAGGAAGGAGGTGACTGCAGCTCTAAGGAGGGTGTGACCAGGATCAGATCCTTGTCATGCACTGTGTGTATCTTCATGTATCTTCATGGTGGCGGTCGTGGGAATACATGCTCAGTGCCGTTCGTTGCATAGAACTGAGCGCACACGCCCGAGTGCATGTAGAATCGGTGAAGCCTGAGCAAGGTGGGCCTGACTACATCCGCGTCAGTGTCTTGGCTGTGACATTGTACTGTAGTCCCACACAGGTGAGCGCTGGGGGGAACCGGATGAAGAGTGCGTGCCGTCTCTCTGTACTGTTTCTTATTGCATGTGAATCTAGAACTATCTCAAAATTTTAAAAAATTTTCAATAAGTAAATAATAAATAATAAAAATGTAGAACACACACAGGGTAATAATAATGCCACGTTTAAGATAGAGGACCTTTCAAGGGCGAGGGGAGGATTCTGCAGACAGGGAAGGATACATCTGTATCCGTCACGTTTTCCTTCTCAAAAAGGGAAAATCTGAAGCTAACTCCCTCAGGTTCTGCAAAGTTGAATGGTGGGTACACCAGTGTTTCTTTTATTATTCTCTGTCCTGCTTTTATGTTTGAAACAATTCATGATTTATATTTTTTTAAGTGTATTCATTTATTATTTCTGAGAGAGAGAGAGAGAGAGAGAGAGAGAGAGAGAGGGTGCACACAAGTAGGGGAGGGGCAGAGAGAGGAGGAGACACAGAATCCATGGCAGGCTCCAGGCCCTGAGCTGTCAGCACAGAGCCCGACGCGGGGCTCGAACTCTCGAAGGGTGAGATTACGACCTGACCTGAAGTCGAACACGTAACCGACTGAACCACCCAGGTGCCCTGAAAGAGTTCGTGACTTTTCAAACACGGATCTTGCTTAACTCCTTTCATCCAGAGCCAGATTGGGTGTTGGATGGAGAGGGCGGAGGGTGTGGGTGGTGGGAAGGCGGCACACCGGGCTCTCTGAGGAGGGGCGGGGGCGGGGGGGCTCAGCCCCAGGGCCTCAGAAGCAACCCCACGAGCCGCCCAGGCCTCTGTCTGTGCAGCCCCCGGAGAAGGAGGGTGCCCTGCCTCGGCAGGTGGGCAACAAGACGGAGTGCGGCCTGCTGGGCTTCGTGCTGGACCTGAAGCGGGACTACGAGCCCGTGCGCACCCAGATGCCAGAGGAGAAGCTGTACAAGGTATACACCTTCAACTCTGTGCGCAAGTCCATGAGCACCGTCATCAAGCTGCCGGACGAGAGCTTCCGCATGTACAGCAAGGGCGCTTCCGAGATCGTGCTCAAGAAGTAAGCCCGGCGTGGCTGGGGAGGGGTGTGGGGAGCCGGGGACCCCCGGGCCGTGCAGCACAGGCTTCCTCCAGCCTGGGCTTGAAGGGCCATCTGGCACCCAGAAGTGCAACACGCCGCAAGCAGGAGCACCTCCCAGGCCCCTTGCCCAGCGCTTTGTCCACTGTTCCCTCTTAAAAACGTCCACAGAGAGCCGTCCGCATCCTCCCCCACAGCACCGGACCATCAGGAAGGCCTCCCCATCGTCCCTGTGAAAGCTCCTTCATTTTCCTTCCTTTAGCACAGAGGCGGTTGACCCTAGTGATGCCCACTGTTAGCTAGTCTCCTCCGCCAGAGAGGAGCCTGGAGAACTAAGCAAGTCACTCCCCATCTCCGGAACTCAGTTTACCCACTCATCCCTCGAGGGGATTGGTCTATCCCCGTGGTCCCCAACCCTGGTCCAGGTTGGAATCACCCCAGGGAGCTTTAAAAAAAAAAAAAGAAAAAACCATTGATTCCTGAACTCACCCCAGACAAACTGAATTGGGGTGAACCTCTAGGGCTCACACATGGGTGTTTATTTATTCAGTGTTCCCCCAAACCATTCTAATGGGCAAGCGAGGTCCAGAACCGCTAAGTTTCCTGCCCTTCGAAAAACCATTTCAGCTGTGGAACTATTTTTTCGGATGAAACCTTGTGAATATAAAGCAGCTCAAAGTAGATGCGGTAATGGACCGGGGCAGATATTACAAGAAGGCTGCCCAATTTCTTTTTGGCCGGTCTTGATTTCATCCCTTCCCCAGGGCCCAGGGGCCTGGACCGGCCCTGAAGCATTATGGGAGATGTACCGGACGGCCGCTGGATGACCAGCCCCGGCCAGCTGGGCATCCCTGGGGAGGGGGAGGGGAGTTCGAGCTGGTCAGAGGGAGGAGCCTTGGGCCCTCGGCTGGACCTTACCCATCTACCCACATCTGCTCCCAGGTGCTGCAAGATCCTCAGCGTGGCGGGGGAGCCCCGGGTCTTCCGGCCCCGCGACAGGGATGAGATGGTGAAGAAGGTGATCGAGCCCATGGCCTGTGATGGCCTCCGCACCATCTGTGTGGCCTACCGCGACTTCCCCAGCAGCCCGGAGCCCGACTGGGACAACGAGAATGACATCCTCAACGACCTCACCTGCATCTGTGTGGTGGGCATCGAGGACCCCGTGCGGCCCGAGGTAAGTCCCCAGCCAGCAGGCTTGAGAGGCTGGGAATCCAGCCCGCAGGCAACCCGGCATAAGCTGCCTCACCTCTCGGAGCCTCAGTTTCCCTACAAGGACCGAGGAAGGCGATGTGATAAGTGCACCTAACGGAGCGCTCAGCTCCCAGAGGACTTCAGTCTCCTTTCGCTGCCTCTGCATCTGGCGGGAAGACAGAACTCGGTGCCGGGGACGTGCAGGGTTGGGGGCAGATGGACACGTGTGGTCAGACCGACCGCCCAGGCCAGAGAAGCGTGGGCTGCTGCCAATCTCCAGAACGTTCCTGTGGGCAAGCAGAGTGAACCTGCTCACCCTGGGGGCCCCAGAGGGCAGAGCCCAGCCCACGGGACAAGCACAGGAGGGGCCAGCCTCCACGTCCTCCGAGGAGTAACCCAGCTGCTGGGGCCGGGGTGGGGAGGGGGGTTCCCAGGCTGGCCCCAGCTGGGCCCAGATAGGCCTTGGCCGCGGAATTTGGTGACAGGGCCTCTCAGGGCCACCTTCCTCCAGTGAAGGCAACTCGCTGTCCCCCACTTGCCCTGACACCATCCCCTGGGGGTCTCTCGCTGTTCCCTGCTCCTCTTGGAGCCTCCGTTTCCCCCTCTTTCCAGTGAAACGGGGTAGACAGGGTGCTTGGCAAATTCCCAGCCCTAGCGTTCTAAGGTTCTATCTTCCAAAGACCAAGTGAACGTCACAGACATGGACTTTCAAGCTTAGGCAGCGGGGAGAGGCGTCACCAGGAGTGTGAGCTCAGGCATCAGACAGGCCTGGGATCCTGAGTCCCGGCATTACTGGCTGTGTGGCCTTGGGCCCGTTATGTAACCTCTCTGAGCCTCTGTTTCTTCATCTGTAGACTGGGGGTAATCATAGAGTTCTCCACACATACACCCCAGGGTACTATGAGGCATCAGATCATGTAGAGACACGCAACAGGCAGTGTCTGGCATGAGGTACGTGGCCCATAAATGTGGGTCTCCTTCTTTTACACCCCTGCCAGTGGATTCATAAGTCTGGATCCAGTGACGGGTAACAGCCCCTAACACAGAGCCCCGCCTCTGGAAGGTGCTCGATAAGTGTGGAATGAATGAGCGAGAATGAATGGGACTTGAACACCAATCTTCCAATGCTGTGCCCGGTGCTCTTTTCCCTCTCTCTCTCTCTCTCTCTGTCTCTCTCTCTCTCACACACACACCACAGGCCTCCTCACTCCCACCCAGAGCCTGAAAGCAGCCAAGGCGATGTGTGCCCCAGGTGCTTGGCACTGGAGCCCATAAGCAATTTCCTGCAAACTGTGTCTGTCCCTGAACAGAGAGGCCATTTATCAGCCTCCCCATGGGACGCCCCGTTACCAGCTGCTAATGGGTTCAGGCTTCCCGTGACATGTTACCCCCTCACGGGCAATGGAGACCAGTCTCTACATAGCAAACAAGGGCAGCCTGTGGCCCCCCGCCCCTCCCATCCCCAGAGCCCCCAGCTCCGCACCCCTCAGGTGTGGTGAAAAGCATCTCGGAGGGGGCGTGGAAAGCAGTATCAGACACGTATCTTTTTGGTCATAACCCACAAAAACTAAGAAATGTATTTTATATTGTGACTCAGTAAACACAGAGACTTGACCGAAATAATCTCACAAAGTACTGCGATGCTCTCATAAGGATTTTCTATTCTCTTCTATTTCTTTCTTTCTTTTTTTTTTTAACACTAGTCACCTCCCTCAGAACTGATTTCACAGCCCACTAAAGGGGCATGATTTCAGGCTTGTGCTGCTGCTGATCTAGTCCAAATGCCTCCCCGCATCCCCACTGCGCAGGCAGAAACACTAAGGCCAAGCAGGGCAGTGATGTTCCCCAAGCCTTGCTGCAAAGGGCCGAGCAAATCCAGATTAAAACGGGTGTTCTGCCTTCGGGCCCCAGGCCCTTCTCCAGGGTGCCGCGGAAGTGAAAGGCAAGGGGCTCTAAGTCAGCAGGGAGGTGGGACAGAGAGGGGCTCAGCTGCGTCCCTGGCATTTTCCCTCAGCGTGATCATCCGGCCAGGCGGGCTTCAGTCACAGACTCTGGGAAGGGACGGCTGTCCCATCCAGCAGCCCTGTCACCCCGGAGGTCCCTACATCGGAGAAAGGGGGCCTGGATCCAAGCCCCAAGTCTGTCAATAACTAGCCGCTCTCCCGCTCTGTGCCTCAGTCTCCTCATCTATAAAATGGGAGGTTGGCCCAGATGCCCCTCAGGTCCCTGCCAGGTTCCAACACTCGGAGCCAGCTGACTGGAAGCTTACCCTGACGCCTTTCTCTGCTTCCGTCAGGTTAGTGCTTCCTTGTTGGTGACCCTCTCTCCCCCCTGGATGCCCCCCCCCCCGGGATGTAGATTTAGAGGCTGTAAGCTGTGGTGGGAGCAGTGACTTACTAGAGCGACACCGCAGAGTCCAGGGACGCGGGTTCTAATCGTGCTCCTGCCACTCCCTCCCAGGGTGCATCGCTTCCCTGCGCCTCAGTTTCCCCATCTGAACAATGAGAGAGTAGGCCATTCCCAAGGGAGGGACACACAGCAGGTTGCTGGTGGCGCTGCATAAGAGTATAAAAGCTCAGGGGTGCCTGGGTGGCTCAGTCGGGCTCAGGTCATGATCTCACGGTTCCTGGGTTCGAGCCCCGCATCGGGCTCTGTGCTGACAGCTCAGAGCCTGGAGCCTGCTTCCGATTCTGTGTCTCCCCCTCTCTCTGCCCCTCCCCTGCTCGTGCCGTCTCTCTCTCTCTTTCTCAGAAATTTAAAAAAAAAAAAAAAAAAGTATGAAAGCTCTGACCTGTGGATTCAGCATCTCCCAGTGGGGGTGGGGATGGCTTTTGATCTATTTGGGTTTTAGGTCGGGTAAGTGATACATGTGGAGCCAAATTCAAAGGGTGCAATAGCATAAACAGGGTGAAGTCGCCTCCCATGCCACGCCCAGTCCCCCGGTCTCCGCCTCACAGGCAGCCACCATCACCAGTTTCTTGGATGACCTTAGGGGAGGTGTCTCTTGCCTACGGTTTTTGGCAAGCCCTCCCAGGCCACCGTGAGGCTGGCCGGAGCGGAACTTGGCTTGGACCACCTCTAAGGACGTACCAACCTTTTCAGATTTGTTTGGCGGCTGGCCCTGGAACACAAATGCTGCCTCCCTCAGTTTCCCCATCTGTCAGGGGGACAGATCACGTTGCCTTCCTCCCTCAGGAAGAGAGAAGACAGAACAGATCAATACAGGCTTACGCATCAGCCCCCAGACAACATAAGATGCTACCTTGGGTCCTCTTTCCGAGGCTGATTGAAGCCGCTACAGATAAGCCCGTCAGAAGAGCAGCAGTCTGGGATTTGCCGGGTTGTCCGGGGGTGTTTGGAGCCCTTAGAGTCACAGGCGACGGGTGTCACCCGAAACAACAGATGTTTAAAAGCCTTTATTTAATGAAAACAGGAAGCGCCCATTTCCTGGCTGTTTTTCCTCAGTGAGAAAAATCTTGGATAATTTTAGCAAAAGAAGGGATTTTTTTTTTTTTTTAATTTTACAGCTACTTTATCTATGTGGAAAGTGTATTTCAACCAGACTGGTGCCCCAGTGGCTTCAGCCTTAATCATCTCCGGGTCCTCAGTGTCCAGAACAGTTCAGTAGCTATTTGTCAAACAAATGAATGAGTAATACAAGGAAATACTGACACGGCTTAAGGAGGCACCCCGTCGGGTGGGAGGAACCCAGAGTGGCTTTCTGAGGAGGAGGCATTTCACCTGAAGGAGGAGAGATTTCTGACACACAGATTAAGGGAGACAGGGTGTTCCAGGCAGAGGAGACCACGTGGGCAGACGCAGAGAGGTGTCCGAGAAGGGATGCCAAGTCTAGCGAATTCCCCCCGTTGGATTTATGAGAGAAAAGGCTAGGGCGGGAGGCTGGCGCTAAACCGTGAAGGGTTTGCAGGTCTCCATCCAAAGCTGTTCGCCAGGTCAGGCTTTGAGGGACTTACACAGAGATGGTCCATGATGACCCACCTGTACGAAGCACCGATCCTGTGCTGGGCCCCCCGCGCGGGCCCCGGCGATCTGCGGCCCCTGCCGTCCAGAGCCCACAGCCTGATGAAACGCCTGCTGAAAAGGGAAGAGTAGGTAGACACATAGCACCTGAGAGCCTCAAGCCAGACTGAAGCCCAACACGGACATCCAGGTACAGGGCCCGCTGCCCAGAAAGGAGGTGGAGAACCTCACGGAGGCCAGGGAAGCTCTGGGGTGTGTCCAGGCCCATCTGGAACCCACCCCGCATTCTAGGCAGGCCGATCAGATCACCCTATCAGCTGGTGACAGTGATTGGACAAAGGGCGGACATGTGAACAAGTTAGCCAATCAGAAGCCTTCCTTGGGATTTTAAACACGAGGAGGGAGGTTTAGTGAACAAGAAGCTCTCCATTTTCTCTGGGTTTACAAAGCTGGGATGACTTAGTCTTATCTGAAGTCGTAGCCTCCTCCACATCCGACAGAAGCCTCTGTGTGATAGGAAAGGATAACACACACATGACGCCCTGAAGGAAGGAGAGAGAGAATGAAAGTATCATTTGAGTTCTTGGAGGTCACTTTCACGTCTGAGCTTTTAAGTTTCTTGAGTCAATAATGTTGTCTCCTTGCTTTCAAAAAAAAGAAAGAGAGAGAGAGAGAGAGGAAGGAAGGAAGGAAGGAAGGAAGGAAGGAAGGAAGGAAGGAAGGAAGGGAAAAAAGGAACAAGCCAGGAAGACCATGTTAAGGCGTGTTGCCAGCCACACCACCACCACCACCAGCGTCTGTCGTGAAATCGTCCAGCTCACTGAGGGGTGTAGACTGTCATCCCCACTTTACAGATGAAGAAACCAATGCTCAGGGGGAACCCCAGGGCAAAGCCCAGCCCAGCCCTTTGGTCCCTGAGTCCACTCTCCGAGAGGCAGAGAAGCCTCCGACATACAGAGGAAAGCGTGGGGCCATAACAATGAGTGGCCTTCTTTTTCTCCCTGAGCCACTGTTTTGGGGAGCCCCGGAGGGTGCGGATTCCAAGCAGGCAGATGCCGGCCCCCTGAGACAGCCTGAAAAGTGGTAGTCTCTCTAAAACACAGTGTCTAGTCCCCTCATCACCAGTTCAGAACTTACCACGGGCCCCAGGCCTGAAGGAGCAAGCCCCCTGGTTCCAGCACCTTCTGACCTCGAGCCTTTCCCCAGCTTCACGGCCACTGGCTCCTGCCCCACATCCTCTTCAGCCTCAGCCCCTCCAGGTCGCCTGCTACACTTCTCCCACAGCACCCTTCCCTCCTTCTCTGCATCTCCTGGACAGTTCTCTGTGGCCTGGGCCACAATGAAACGGTCATCTGTGTAGCCCCAGACTGGGAACAACACCAGGCTCCGGAGCCACTATTAGTGTTAGCTGAACAGAAGCAGCTCAGACATCCCCTCCTCCAGGAAGCTTTCTCGGATTTCTCCTCTCCATCTACTCCTCTGTGCTCCCAGAGCCCGTTGTACAGAGGTCTTTACCAAAGACCCTGCCTCCTACAAGGGTACAGCTCCGACCCAGAGCAACTGCTCTCTCATCTGAAAAAAAGAGCGATTATGTGAAAGGAGATGATAGACTTGTCCCACTGTGGAGCGGTCAGCCTTGGAGGGAGTGAGCACCCTGTCATCAGAGGCCTGCAAGCAGAGGCTGGCTGGCCATCTGTTGGGATGCCTAGCAGGAGAGCTAGGCAACAAGCAGAGTCAGAGTCATGGTCTGAAGTCCCTCCCAACTCCAAGGCCTTGAGCATCTTCGAACCAAACAGAACCTAAACTGTTCCTTTGAGGGCAGGAGGCAGATAAAGTGGACGTCCCCAAAAGAGCAGTGGCTCTTTCCTCTCCTCTGAACAGGAGACAGCAGGAGACTGGGCTGCAGCCTGGGCTACCACCATTGTGAGGACATCAGTAAATTATGTAAGCGGGATGTTGGACACTCCACGCCCCCACTCCCTCTGGCTTTGTGAAAAGAGGTCACGGTTGCGTATGCAAGCAGCCGCTGTAGCACAAGGCAGAGGCCTTGCTCACGTGGCCCCCAAGCCCCGCAGTGGGCTCTTCCCCGGGCCCCGGAAATGCAGCCAGAAGAGACCCGTGGTCAGCTGACCCTGCTCTAGCCCTTGTGACGGGGAGATCACTACCTGTCACCACCGACCTGGTCTCTTTTACGGTTCTGGTAGCCGGAGGGTTCTCCTGACCTTGCCCAGGACCCTGCCTCTTCATGGCATTTGTTCCTCGCTCTACCACAAGATGGCAATGCTCAGGAGTTTTGATTTTCTCTATAAGCAGCTGGGAGGGAGTGACAGCGACGGCTGAACTCTAGGCAGGTCACTGGAGGTCTGGTAGGGGACGGATGGAAGACGGGCGAGGCCGGAGGCAGGGAGGCTGGGGAGGGGCTGAGCAGCGGCCCCCGCCTGGAATGGTAGTCCCTGTGCTGAAGGAACAGCAGATGCTGTGGACGGGGGTGGACACAGGCTAGATATTTTCAAGGTCAATCCTTATTTTTAAAATTCCTAAAGGCAGGGACCAGCGGACAGGAGTTGTCCACAGTCAAGTTTTGAACCAGTGTTCTCTCTGTATTAGTTGCCATAACGAAATAGCACAGACCGGGTGGCTCAGACAACAGAACTGGGTTCTCTCACAGTTCTGGAGGCTGGAAGTCCAAGGTCAAGGGTTGACAGGGTGGGTTTCTTCTGAGCGCAGCGAGGGGGAATCTGCTTCAGGCCTCCCCCAGCCCCAGCTGCTGGGGAGCTGCTAGGAATCTTCGCTGGTCCACGACTTGTGGCAGCGACACCCCAATCTCTGCCTTTAGCTTCATATGACATTCTCTCAGCGTGTGTGTCTGAGTCCAAATTTCCCCTCTTCGTAAAAACCCCAGTCACACTGATTGAGGGCCACCCTACCGACCTCAACTTGATTACCTCTATAAACACCCTAACTTCAAGTAAGGTCATATTCACAGGACGGGGGGCTAAGACATTAACATATTTTTTTTCTTTTTGAGAGAGAGACAGAGTGTAAGGGAGGGAGGGGCACAAAGAGAGAGAGACACAGAATCTAAAGCAGCCTCCAGGCTCTGAGCTGTCAGCACAGAGCCCAATACTCAGCTTGAACTCACGAATCATGAGATCAGATCATGACCTGAGTTGAAGTTGGACACTTAAAGGACTGAGCCACCCAGGCGCCTCGAGACTTTAATGTATCTTTTTGGGGCAGCCACAGTACAGCCCGTAACAGTCATCAGACCTTCTCAGCGGTGACTTTGCAGAGTAGGGATGGGAGTGAGCTCCCAGGCACTATAGTGTGGAAGAGGAGTGGGAGTCAGACTCCCTGAATCCAAGCCTGAGACTCTAAAGTGCTTTGGTCTTTTGAGACAACTGGATTTTTCTGCCCTTGACATGTCTTCTTCCACTCAAAAACTTTTTGCAGCAAATAGCAAATATTACCATATTATTTTATCATTCGTCACTGCCCACGGGTAAGAATCACTTGTTCAGTTGATTTGTGTTGTGTGTAAAGGGCTGCGGCAGCTCCAGGCCGGTTTCTGCAGCCTAATTGCTGGGCAGATAAACCCACAGCTCGGTGTAGGGGCGGGAACTGGGGGGGGTGGGGTGGGGAGGGGGCGGGGAGAGAGGGGCCTGCCGCCTGCTGATTGGCTGGGTCTACTCTGGCCTGATTGGCCCAGACATCAGTCTATTATTGCCGTCAGGGCAGGAGGCAGTCCTTACTCTCTCAGGGAAATGTCCTGTTTTACATGAAGCATAATCATTTGTATTTATTCTAAGCCAGTGTCACATTCTGTAAATGAAGTGCTCCCAAAATGCAGTATCCCCCTCCCCCCCCACAAAAAAAACGCTAAAAATATGCGAACATATTTGTCACTGAATTTGCAGGGATGGTGCATGTGGTTAAAGCAGGCACACATTCTTATGCAATAGTAGAGTATCCTACTTCCGCCTGGGGCCAGATCTGAGAGCATATTGTCGGGGTCTTTCTCAAATCCCTTGCCCAAGTCAGGACAGCCAGTGGGTTCATCTCAGGATGGACTCTCATGGTGATAGCTGCCTGACACTCTACTGAGAATCCTGAGACCACATCAAGGTTTAATCAGAAGTTCTGTGATCGATTAACAATGCCTGCCATGGGCACAGGAGATGACCCATTTGCCAGGCTTGCTCTCAGTATCTCATGGTCATCCAGGCTCCTCACGCTGGAGCTGCCTGTGAGCAGGGCTCACTCTGGAGTCCGTAAGGGCAGTGGGGGCCTGCCCCAGGTGGTGCTCACCCCATGGCTCCGGCCCTCCCGCCAGGTCCCAGAAGCCATCCGCAAGTGCCAGCGAGCAGGCATCACAGTCCGCATGGTCACCGGTGACAATATCAACACGGCCCGGGCCATCGCCATCAAGTGTGGCATCATCCACCCTGGGGAGGACTTCCTGTGCCTGGAGGGCAAGGAGTTCAACCGGAGGATCCGCAACGAGAAGGGGGAGGTACGTGCCCAGCACAGAGGGGCCTCCGAGGGATGAGCTAGGATGGGGGATATGGGGAGGCATGGGGGCTTCTGTGACTGCGCAGACGCCAGCCGGCGTGCCCCCAAGCCCAGGGACTTTGGGCCAGCCCCCTCCCTTCTCCAGGCCTCTCTCTCAGACCCCCCATCCCTCTCCAGATTGAACAAGAACGGATTGATAAGATCTGGCCAAAACTGCGGGTGCTGGCTCGCTCCTCGCCCACGGACAAGCATACCCTCGTCAAAGGTAAGACTGGGGGGGAGGGGCAGTTCTGAGGCCAGAGCCCCCTCCTCTCCTGGCTCCTGCAGCTTCTTTCCAGACGGGCCTTTGCATGGGGCTCCCCACACCTGGCAACACCCTGGCTGTGCCCCATTACAGCCCTGGGAGGCCCTCTAAGGGCCCCAGTGAGTCCCACGAGATTGTGAGTCTTTTCTCTGGCTGCCACTTCCTCTAGGAAGCGGTGGGACTGGGCATGTCTAGGGCCACAGCTCTTGGCCTGAGGGCCAAATGGGACCCAGAGAGGTTGTATTTGACTGGGACAGTGCCTTTGTTTATGTTGAATTTGGATGGCTTTATACAAACTCTGCTCTCACATTTTTTAAAAGAGGCTTTTTTTTTTTTTTTTTGCGACAGAGAAAAAGCACAAGTGAGGGAGGGACAGAGATGGGGTGGGGGAGAGAGAGAGAGAGAGAGAGAGAGAGAGCCAGGGCTTAACCAAAGCAGGGCTTGTGGTTGGTTTGGGGTTTTTTCACCCGACACGGGGCTTGAGCTCACCCAATGTAGGACTCGAAATCATGAGCCGTGAAGCCATGACCTGAGCCGAAGTCAGATGCGTAAGGGACTGAGCCGCCCAGGCGCGCCCCCGCTCACATTTGAAGCAGTCGCCCCCGCTCCCTGTTGTCTGACACCCAGCCCCCTTCACTCATCCGTGTTCTCCGTCTGGTCCCAGAGTTGTGAGTTTGAGACCCTTGGCCTGCCTGCTCTCTGAGGACCCCAACGGGGACCCCAAGGGTGGTCTATCCTGGGAATAGCAATCTGAGAGATGAGGCCAAAAGCTAGCATCCTTCTCCTTCCTTGTCTCCTTCCAGAGAGAGGGCGTCCTACTTGCTGAGCTCATGTAGGTGGCCAGGTCCCGCCTGGCTCTGCCACTGACCTGTTCTGTAGCCTTGGCCAAGTCCCACCTCTTCCGGGATTCAGTTTTCCTGTCTTGTTTTAAGGTTTGTTTTTGAGACAGAGAGACAGAGACAGAGCCTGTGTCAGGGAGGGGCAGAGAGAGAGGGAGACGCAGAATCTGAAGCAGGCTCCAGGCTCTGATCTGTCAGCACAGAGCCCAGCTCAGGGCTTGAACCCACAGAACCGTGAGATCATGACCTGAGCCAAAGTCGGATGCTTAACCGACTAAGCCACTCAGGTGCCCCTCCGTTTTCCCATCTTTAAAATGGCCATAGGAGGGCAGGTTTCTGGCTGAGGTCGTCTCTAGCGCATCTCAGAGTTTCCCACAGTGCTGCCCAGGGACATGAATGGAGGGCGATGTGGCCCGGGGACAGAAACATAGAACCCCAGAACCACAGATGCCAGAGCATGAGGCCCCCCCACACATCCCCACTTCTTTTTCATTCACTCATTCACTTATTTACTCATTCTCTTGATACATTTTTATTGAAGCTCTACTAAGTGCCAGGCCCTACCCTTGGCACACGTGGTCCTTCCCCCTTGGAATTCATGGTCCAGATTCCATCCAGCAGACATTAAATAGCTTTCCTTCCACAGATCTGGAAGCTGCACTGGTGGAAGAGAAGGGTGGGGGCCCTCTGTTGGCCTCTCACTCAGGCTGGGGATGGGGATCACGTAATAGGCCATCAAAGGTGGCTTGAGGGTCCAGGAGAAAGGGCCTGTGTTTCAGGCAGGGAAGAGGATTGCACTGTGAAAGCCCAGATTTCTAGAAGTGGAAAGAAGCTCACTTGCCCAGGCAGGGACCTCAGGAGAGAAAGAGAGAGAGGCCAGAGAAGGGAGTGCCCGTGTCAGATCATGTAGGGCCTTGAATGCCAGGCTGGGGACCTGAGCTGTTAGCCTGAGGTTGGGAGCCGTTGGGAGGGCCTTGAGGGGGAAAGCATTGTTTTAGAAAGTTCTGTCCCGCTTGTGGGGAGAATGGCCTGGAGGCGGAGGGACCATCGAAACTGTCCATCTGTGAGACGTGATGCCAGGACCAGGGTGGTGACATTGCAGGTGGAGCTGGAAGTCACTGGGTCAGAGACCTGCTTGGGTGGTGCAAGGATGTGGGCCCAGCGACCATTCGGACACGGTGGAGGCCTGGCCGGGGTGAGGGGCCCATATTCCCTCCGTCTGCCCCTGTTTGAGAGCCCGCAGCGTGTCAGCGCAGCCCCTGGTTTTTGACCGGGCAGCTGGATGTTAGGACTCACAAGGGACAGATCTGAGTGCAGGTGACGTGTTTAGGACTGGCCGAGCCGGAGGCCCTGTGACATCCGAGTGGAGGCGTCCAGAAGACAGCTGGCCATCCACATGGTCAGGACTCAGGAGAGAGATTAGGCACAGGCGGAGTGTGCCGGGTGGGGACAGCCAGCTGAACCCAGGGCCTCCCCCGGGAGCGACGGGCAGAGGCCGGGAGACCGAGAAGAGGCTGCCAGAGGGGTAGGGGGACAGCCGGGAGCTGTGGTGTCCAGGAAGACAAGGAAGGGGCCTGCTGAGGAGCGAGGTACGGCCTGTGGCATGAGTGGCACTGAGAGGTCCAGACAGATGGAACAGGGATGGGACCACAGGAAATGGCCCTTCGCGACCACACGCGGCGGAGATGTGTCAGCGGGTGACGGGGCCATGCCGGCGTGACGGACGAGGTGTCCCCCCAGCTTCCCTTCCATTGGGACACAGCGGGAGGGCTGTGGCAAGGCTGGCACCAGCCTGAGGGGCCACAGAGGAGCCCTTGGCCGTCCCTGCTCTGGAGGAGCACGTGGGCAGGCTCGGAGAGCCAGCGGGAACAAAGGCTCAGATGCCCAGTAGACGGAGACTGGAGCCTGAGGCTTGGGGGGTGGGGGGAAACTGAGGGACAGCCACCAGCTGGGGGAGCAGCCCAGGTCGACCCCCGGAGCATGTGGCCTTGGAGCTGGGCCTTAAGGGGATGGAACTTGGACGTTTGCCAAGAGCTGGGGGGCCTGTTGGGGGGCTGCAGAGTCTCCTCGAGTCAGGGAATCCATTCCCTCATTCCACAGGCCGCTGCCGTCCGCCGGGCACAGGACAGGGAGAGACACACATGGGAGCTACAGGGATCCGATTAGGGCGGACCAGGGTCCTCGGGGAGTCACAGAGCCTTCCCAGGGGAAGTGGCATCTGAGCTGAGACCGCAGGCGGGTGACGGCACAGCTGCCGGGGGGACAGCCCTGCAGATGGGCGAGGAAGCCAGCTTTGCAGACGGAGAGCCATTCCTATGGCTGGAGCTCAGAGGGCGGGCGGCCTGACGCGAGAGAAGAGATCAGAGAAGGGGTGAGGCCTGACCACAGGGAACTTCGAATTTTCTGAAGGAGCAAAGAACATGAATGTCACCCTGAGGCCAGGGTGGGCAGTGAGAGGAAGACCCCGCTGGGGGCAGGGGACGGGTCTGTCCCAGGGCTTGGAGACAGCCCCTGGCACCGCTTGCAGACCGGAGGGGCAGCTGGGGTCGGCGAGCGGGCGGGGCGATGCCGTGGCAGAGGGAACGGCGCAGAGAAGTGCGAGTTCACCTGGGGTCGCGGAGCGCGATCTGCGGGCCTCGGTGGTGGTGGACGTGAGGCGCGGGATGAGAGAGAGACGCGCCAGGAGTGACATTCAAATTCCTGTCCTGTCCGCGGGCACGTGTTCCCAGACCCCACACGGGCCCTGTGATGGCATCTCCCACCCGCTCTCCTCCGCGGGCCGCAGCTCAGTGACGGAGCCCTGTGTCATCTGTTTCTCCTCTTTGCTGAATATTTTATTGAGGGTGAATGTTTGGAGACAGGTCAAGGCCAGAATGGTGGGTCAGGGGTCATTGGCAAATGGCCCAGCCCAGGCCTCCTCAGTAAGTGACTGCATGGCCCGGGGAGAAGGTGCTGAGGGAGCAGATGGTGGGAGCCCGGCCTATGGAGAAGAGAGGAGCTTCCGGAACACAGGCAGATGGGGAGGCCTTCCAGCTGGGGTAGCCAGCAATGTGGCAGAGGGCTGCAGAAGTGAAGAACCTGCTGGAAAGGCAGCAAGGGCACGCAGGTGCTGGCAGCCGTGGGCAAGCCTGGACCTGGGAAGAGCCACAAAGTGGGGCGGGGGCGGGGCAGAGGCCAAGGAGAAGGCTGTGCCCGGCCCAGGTCCTCCAGCGATCAGGCTGGCCCGGGCTGCCCTTGCCCACGGAGCGTCTGTCCAGGGCCCTGAGCACGCTCCTGCCTCACCCCCCAGGTATCATCGATAGCACCCACACAGAGCAGCGGCAGGTGGTGGCCGTGACGGGGGACGGCACCAACGACGGGCCTGCGCTCAAGAAGGCTGACGTGGGCTTCGCCATGGTAGGGCAGCTCGCGGCGGGCCCGGGGCGGTACCTAGCAGAGCTCATGGGCAGGGGGCGTGGGCAGAACAGCCTCCAGCCGACTGTGCGGGACCCCCAGCTCACGCTCCACGCACACCCACTGTCCCCCTCATGTGCCCAGCGCTCTCAGGGCCGTCTGGCCCCCCGGGGTCTTCCTGGAAGGGTCAGGGGGTGCTCCTTGCGATGGGTGTGTGGGAGGGAGGCGTTGGTGGGGGGATGGGCCCGGGAGAGGCTTGGCCTCGGGAGGCTGGGTCTGTGAGAAGTTCGGGCCCACATGCCCACGAGGTCTGTCCATGTGGTTGGGAGTGTGCGTGGGGGGGTGGGGGGAGGTGTTGCAGGAGGTGAAGGCAGTGCTGCTTGAGCTGCTCACCAGCCACCGCGCCCAGGCTCGTGTCCCTGTCCCCCCAGGGCATCGCAGGCACGGATGTGGCCAAGGAGGCCTCGGACATCATCCTCACGGATGACAACTTCAGCAGCATCGTCAAGGCGGTGATGTGGGGCCGCAACGTCTACGACAGCATCTCCAAGTTCCTGCAGTTCCAGCTGACGGTCAACGTGGTGGCCGTGATCGTGGCCTTCACGGGCGCCTGCATCACGCAGGTGGGTCCTCCAGGGGGCGGGCCGGGTGGGGCAGGCCGGAGCCTGGGGGAGCCCCTGCCAAGGGCCAGGAGCTGCATCGCACACCTCAGGGGCAGGCACCAGCCCGGGCAAATGAGGCTCAGCAAGGTGGGGGGCCGGCCCAAGGTCATGCGGCAGATGAGAGATGTCAGGCCTCACCCCCCTGACTGTGCAACCCAGGAGCAAGCCCGGCCTTGCTCCCCGAGGCAGCAGAGGTCATCCTCGAAGGAAGGCAGAGCCCCCAAGGGGCCAGAGGGAGGCAGGGCGGGGCAGGGCCCAAAGGGCATCAGGCAACCAGCTTGGGACAAGGAACGGCAGGGACCCAGGCACCCGGGGGCCTGCATTCTGGAAGGAGTATGACGGGAGAGGCCTGTTTGCCCAGGGCCCTGAGGCCAGGTCATGGCTCTCTGTCACCGGGAGAGGCAGTTGTCTGTCGGGATCACCATCTGGGTCAGGAGCAGCCCCGTCCCCTGAGTGCAGGGGAAGCCAGCCAGCAGCCCTGCGTGTCTGCAGCCACCCCCCCCCCCGATTTCCCCCCCAGGCCCCATGAGGCAGCAACTAGGATGATCCCCATTTTACAGAGGCAGAAACTGAGGCCTAGAGGATGGCGCAGTCAGGACCCTGCCATGGTTCCTGCAGCCTCCTTCCTTCCCCCGGGGGCCGACCAGCCTGGCCTGGGGAGGAGAGGGCTGGTACCCCAAGGCCTCCCAGCACTCACATGGGCAGACAGGCTGGTGCCCACAGATGGGAGCCCCCAGAAGCCCAGAAGGCAGCCCTGCCCCAAAGAGCTTTGTGGCCTTAGGAATGCCGCTCCCCTCTGTTGCACTGAGAGCCGCTGGGTGCGTGTGGCAGCACCCAGTACCCTACCCTGAGGGTCTGAGCTGGGAGGGGGCTGGTGGGTGCCTGCTGCCGAAAGGGCCCTCCTGCTCTGTGGGCGAGAGACTCCCTCTAGTGGTGGCTTGGGGAACACCCCCACAAGCCCAGCAGCTCCTACAAGGCTTCTCAGAGACCCACTGACGCCAGTCGGGGAAACGCGGGGGGGGGGGGGGGGTTCGGAGGGGACTATGGGTTTGCCTGAGGTTTTAGACTAAGGGGGCAGCGGGGCCGTGTAGGCCTTGGTGGAGATGTGGGGGGCCCTGACCCTGAGGCACGGGTAAACAGAGAAGGCTGATGAGCAGGAGGAAGCCGCAGGGCATGGGAACTTGGCTGCGCCAGGGCTGGGGTGGGAGAGGTGGCCTGCGGGAGGGGCTGTGGGGAGTATCTAGGAGGAGTGAGTGAGTGCATGGGGTGCAGGCAGAGTAGGCCTTGGGGCGCTGCCCTGAGAAATGACAGAGGGGTGAAGATCAGCTCAGTTTGGGCTATTAGGCTTACACAGTCTGTGGGCTTCCTGAAGGAGGTGTTCTCCCCATAGATGAGGCTCAAACCAGAGGGGAAGTCTGGGTCGGAGAGTGGCTGGTGCTGGGGAGAGGTGGGCACTGAAATGAAAGCCAGGGGACAGGTGTGGAGAGGAGAGCAGGGCTGAGGAAGGGGCCATGGGGGACACAGATTTAAAAGGCAGGGGAGGGGCGCCTGAGTGGCTCAGTTGGTTGAGCATCTGACTTTGGCTCAGGTCATGATCTCACAGTTCGTAAGTTCGAGCCCCACATCAGGCTCTGTAATGAAAGTTCAGAGCCTGGAGCTTGCTTCACACTCTGTGTCTCCCCCTCTCTCTCTCTCTTCCCCCCCGACTCATGCTCTGTCTCTCTCAAAAATCGATTTTAAAAAAAAATTTTTTTAAGGCAGGGGAAGGGGCACCTGGGTGGCTCGGTCGGTTAAGCATCCGACTTCAGCTCAGGTTGTGATCTCACAGTTTGTGAGTTTGAGCCCCTAGTCAGGGCTGTCAGAGAGAACCCTGCTTCAGATCCTCTGTCTCCCTCTCTCTCTCTCTGCCCCTCCCCTGCCTGTGCACTCCCCCACCAAAAAAAAAAAATTTAAAAAATAAGAGATAAATAAGAGGCAGGAGAAGAAGAGCCTGAGGGAGCTGGAAAGGGACACTGAGGGCCAGGTGAGTGAGGTCAGGCACCAGGAGGAGGCAGTGGCCAAGCCAGGACACACGGCTGGAAAATGTGTCTCTCGGTGACAAGGAAGGTTCTGGTGACCTTGGAGAAAGGGAGTTGGGGAGCTCAGAGAGGCCAAAGTCTGGCTCCCACGTCACTGGGGCGTGAGAGGGAGGAGGAGACGGTAGATGGGTTCCAGGCAGTGCACCCCACGTGATATGATTGTGTACGGAGCAGTTCCACTGTAGGACCCTGGCCCGAGAGAGGCGTGAAGGATCCACGCCAGGATGTGGATGGTGGGCGCCCGTAAGTGACCAGACCACGGATGACTTTTAGCTTCCTCCGCTATTCCTTACTTGCCCAAATGTCCCACCACCAAAGGGTGTTATTTCTGGAATCCCAGAGGACACGATAATTGCTTAAAGTGGGATGACGAGGTAGGAAGGAACTGGGTGGTGGTGAAGAGGCGGCACCACGGGTGTGGGATGGCAGAGACCAGAGCCATTGATAGTTGAGGGGGACATTGGTAGTTAAGGGGGAAGCAGCGAGAGGAAGGGCAGAGGGAAGCTAAGGAGACGGGATCGTGGCCTTGGCCAGGAGAGAGGAGTCCACAGGGACTGGAGGGGAGGCAGGCAGATGGTGGGGATGTGGGTGAGTTTTCCAGAAGGCAGGGAGCTGCTTACCATTGTGCCTGGAGGACTCACCCCATGTTCTCTTTGGGGGAGAACACGGGCAGGCAGACCTAGGCTGTTCTCCAGGGAAGGGAAAGCCCATCACACCCGCCGGGTGCCTGCTCAGGAGGCCGAGCCGGCTCCAGACTCCACCAAGAAGCTGCCGAGACCCACACCCGGCACTTCGTAGCGGCCAGTGGGGCCGACCCCTCTGGTGACAGCCTTCCCCACCGCTGCCGCCTCTAGGACTCCCCGCTGAAGGCCGTGCAGATGCTCTGGGTAAACCTCATCATGGACACGTTCGCCTCGCTGGCGCTGGCCACCGAGCCGCCCACCGAGACCCTGCTCCTGAGGAAGCCGTACGGCCGCAACAAGCCCCTCATCTCTCGGACCATGATGAAGAACATTCTGGGCCACGCCGTCTACCAGCTCACCCTCATCTTCACCCTGCTTTTTGTTGGTGAGTCCCCCGCCGGCCCACCTGCGACTCCGCGGCCCAGACACAGCGCTCTGGATCCACACCTGCTCTCTTGTTTGCCAGTGAGGTGACAGAGGCCCAGGGAGGTGCTGCTCATTGCTCGAGATCACAGAGCAAGTCCGGGGCAGAGCTAGGCCCTGTCTCGGGTCTGGCCGACCTCAAAGCCAGGGCTTTTCCAGGGATCACAGCTCCAGAAATGGAGTGCGCGCTGTGCAAGGAGGCACCCAAGTGCTGATCCGAGCCCCCCGGCCCCTCCTCTGACCCATTCCTGCACCTCATCCTCGCCCCACGAAGGCATCCGAAGACTTCCCTGGGGAGGTGCCGCACACCTGCCTAACCACCAGCTGTTTCCACAGCTTTCTCATTTAGGCTGCTTCATTTAGGTTTGCCCGCCACTCAGTGGGGCCGTCACCTGTGCGGCCACCGTGCAATTGAGAGCCCCGGGACACACAGACATGAGGTGACTTGCCTGGAGGGCACAGCAACTCTGAAGCCTGGGCAGAGACCAGGCGGGGTTTCCTTGGGCGCTTCAGAGATGATGTGGGCACAGCCGGCTGCGGGGTCACGGCGAAGCCCAGGGTGGGGGAGGGGCCGGTCCGCAGCCACACAGTGAGCGGGGCGGCTGGGAGTTCTCGGCCAGGCAGGGCCCCTGCACATGAGGCTCTCCATGCCAACGATGAGCACTTGCCCTCAACATCCAGGGCAAGATGTGGGTAAGGGCATGGATCCTGCTCCTCGAAGGGAAGCCCTCTTGGGTAAACTTTGTTTTTTTGTTTTTTTTTTTTTAAATATTTTTTATTTATTTCTAGGAGAGAGAGAGAGAGACAGCGTGAGCAGGGGAGGGTCAGAGAGAGAGGGGGGGTCACAGACTGAAACAGGCTCCAGGCTCTGAGCTGGCAGTCAGCACAGAGCCCGACGCGGGGCTCGAACCCACGAACCGCGAGATCATGACCCAAGCGAAAGTCGGACGCTTAACCGACTACGCCACCCAGGCGCCCCATCTTGGGTAAACTTTGAAAGTGATGTGCTGGCAAAACTATTGTAAAGATCAGAGTCTTCGAAGAAGCCCCGTGAATGAAAACCCAGGAGAGAAGGTTGCCGGGTGGGGGAGGGGAGGGGAGAGGAGGGGAGGGCGTGTTCTTGGTCTAATTGCCGGACTCCCCACTTGAGCGCCTGCTCTCAGTGGTCTCGGATTCAGCTCGACACCTTCGCCCCCAGAAAACTCCACGAGCTCTCCCGGCACCCGCTTAGGCAGCTTCGCAAAGGGATGGGGAATGGCATCAGGCCTGGCGTCCGCGGCCGTCCACACGGCAGCGGGGGTGGGGCGACCCTCCCCCTTCACATAACAGCTCAGAGCTGCAGGCAGCACCCCCTGGCCTAGAAGTCCCAACCTGCTTGTCACAATTGATGTTTCCTAGAAGAGTCCCAGGAGCCTCCAGAGGCCTCAGCACAGGATACATGCAGTTGCAAGAAGCAGCACTTTCAGGGGAGCCCACAGCATGGCCTCCGCCAGGGGTTACTAGTTCACCCCCAGGCCCCCAGGCCCCCAGGCCCCGATGACTGTGCCAGCTGGGGGTCCCTTTCTATAAGCAGTGTCAGCTGACGACAAGGCTGCCATTCCCCCTTTATCAGATTTCTGCAGAAAGGCAGGTTACGCGGCGCCCAAGGCGTTTCTCCCTCGAGAAGGAAGGGTTCAGTTATCCCTCCGCTCACACTCAGGCCCCCCACAGCGCGAGCCCACCCTGCCCCCTGATATCCAGAGCGAGCACCGCCTCCGAGTCTGCACAGCCCACGAGGCTGCGCAGAAGAGGCCCCCACTCCGGGCGCGGCGCCTCCCGCAGCGGAGGCCTCTGGCCCAGCTCGCGCCCTCTTGGCTTGGCAGGCGAGAAGATGTTCCAGATCGACAGCGGGAGGAACGCACCCCTGCACTCGCCACCCTCGGAACACTACACCATCATCTTCAACACCTTCGTCATGATGCAGCTCTTCAATGAGATCAACGCCCGCAAGATCCACGGCGAGCGCAATGTCTTCGACGGCATCTTCCGGAACCCGATTTTCTGCACCATCGTGCTGGGCACCTTTGCCATCCAGGTATCCGGGCCCCCACCGTGACCTGGGCCGGGGTGGGCAGTGATCAGCCTGGTGCTCTGAGGGCCCAGACCCCTGAAGTGGCCCCTGATGGCCTGTCTCTCTCCCTTTCTCTCTCTCTGTCTCTCGCCCTCTCTCTCTGTCCCTGTGCTCCCCTTTGACCTCCAGATAGTGATCGTGCAGTTTGGAGGGAAGCCATTCAGCTGCTCTCCGCTGCAGTTGGACCAGTGGATGTGGTGCATATTCATTGGGTTAGGAGAGCTCGTCTGGGGACAGGTAAGTTCTGGAAGGGTTCTCAGCGGGGGGAGAGAAAGAGCACTGAACAGGGAATCCAAGAATCCCAGGCATAAGACCTGGCTCTGCCCTGGACTCGCTGTCTGGCCCCAGGCAAGGCCCTCCCCATCTCTGGGCACCTGGGCAATGGGCATTGGCGTCAGACCCCAAACACTGGGCTTTTGAGTACCACCGCTATAATTTTTGCTTTAGATCTGTGTACCTCTCATCCTGTTATTGACTTGAAATTTTCTTTCAATCAAATCAGTTATTTTAATTGAAATTCATTTCAAAAGGTCCCTTTATATCGCTAACATGATTAGAAAATCAGCATCATTTGTCATAAATGGAAGCTAACAAAAAAATACCAATGGCATGACACCAAGCAGAGGCTCCTTCAGAGGGATTTGAGGAAAGAGAAGAAGGGTGAGCCCTGCCTTGTCTCAGAGCTATTCAGTGCTGCGTCTGAGATCCTCCCCAGCTTTAGGGAACCATGGGCTGGATGCTCTGTAGAGCCTCTTCCAGCCGTGACCCAGAACATTCTCCCTACTTTTGCCCAAGTCCTAAGCACGTGTGCACCTGTGCCTGCGTGCATGCACACACGCACACATATGCACACTCCTTCAGAGCACTCACTGCTTGTAGACAGACCAGGATGCGGTGCTTGTGGGAAGTACCTGCAGCCAGATCTGGGCCAAGGGGACCTTATTCCCAAGGTGCTCCATCACCCACGTACTGGGAGCCTCAACTGGCCTGAGACACTGTTCTTGGCTTCAAGCTGTTTCAGGCTGGAGTGGGAAGTTGCAGTAGTAGAAATTAACTAAAAGATAAAGAAGAAAAGTTAGTTTCACCCAAAAAGGTCCTCTTTCAACTCTTTGGAAAGCCGATAAACTAGACTGGACTTAGCAACCCCGTTTCCTGGGCACCCTCAGAGCCAGGCCGTCTGTATCCTGCTGGAGCCCACACCCTCAGGGAGTTCCCGGTGTCCGGGAGAGCAGCCCCCGACGCCTGAGGATTCTGCGTGGGCAATGCTGAAACTTCCAGAGGACTCATGAGGCTGAGTGTCCAGGCAGCCTCCGTCTGTCCCTACAGGATGGGAAGGGGGCCTCTGATCTCTGTCACTCAGCCTCCCCATAGGGTCTGCCTTTGAGGTCTCAGCCCCATGGACAAGCCCTTTGGAGGATGATGAAAGATAAAGGCATACCCCTTCCCATTTTGCCTTCCCTTTCTGGGAGGACAACCATTCCAAGTCCTAGCTAGGCCCAGCTGCCCCCAAGGTACCCGTGCCCTGGGCCCCTGTTGCCCACCCTCAGGTTCCAGAGGACCAAACGATCAGGAGGAAAGAGCCCGGGGACCTGAGGGCCAGCCATGAGCCAGGCTCACGCACAGCAACTGAGACACAGCATCCTGCTTGCTCCTCGAACTCTGAGAATCGCCCCCAGCTTTATAGATGGGAAAGGCAGAGCTCAGAGATGTTAAATGACTTACCCAAGGTCAAAGTCACATCCATCCAACACCTGAAGGCCAAGATTTTCCTCTGTGCCCCCCCTCCAACTATGAATAAGCGAGCGAATTAAAAAGCAAATCAATAAGCAATTATAAAGCTGGAACTGAGGAACAGGTGGGTGAGTTAAGGAGCGAGCCGAGCATAACTAGGTAAGTGGGGAGGAGGAGCAGGGGGTAGGGGGGCGGGGCGGGAAGGAGGCCACCTGAGGGACCGCCCCCATCACCCTGCCGCTGGACTCCCCGCAGGTCATCGCCACCATCCCGACCAGCAGGCTCAAGTTCCTCAAGGAGGCGGGGAGGCTCACGCAGAAGGAGGAGATCCCGGAGGAGGAGCTGAATGAAGACGTGGAGGAGATAGACCACGCGGAGAGGGAGCTGCGACGGGGCCAGATCCTGTGGTTCCGAGGCCTGAATCGGATCCAGACCCAGGTACGGGAGGCTCCCAGGGTGGGCGGGAGACGGAGACGACGGGCGTGCTCCATGCCACCCCATCTCAGACACGGGACCCCGGCCCTGCTCTCCCCATCTCACCAGCCACGTGCCCCACACGCACGCTGAAGGAGCTGCAGCCTCCTCAGGAAGGTTCCACCTCGCCCTTCAGACCAGAGAGGGGTCAGACTGGGGGGCCTGCTCGCCATGGGCTTCAAGGGGGGGTGCCCCGAAGCGGGGAGGGGGCCTGGGCGCTGAGGTGAGTGAGGGGCTCGGGTCAGGGTTGGAGGACGGCCACCGGGGGCGGGTGGAGGCAGTGCCAGGCTGGACACCAGTCCCTGTAAGGGCAGGGCCAACCCCAGATTCTCCAGGGCCCGGGGGGTCAGCCGGTGAGGTCCTGGCGTCTCTACCTGTGTGTACATGTCCTCCACCCGGGCCTTCAGACGCTGCCCTCCGCCAGGGTGTTGACGCCGCCCTGGGAAGCAGCGTTTGGTTCTCCCCACGCACACACACAGACACGTACGTGCGCACAGGGACACACATCCCAGCCACACGCGTGGGATGGAGTCCTTCCCCAGGACACAGGCCCCCACACTCTTGCACGCCCCTCTGCCCAGGCTGGCGCTCTAGTTCACACTGTGTGTCCGCAGCACCGTGGGGTGAGCGACACGGGGGACCAGGAAACTAAGAGAGGGTGGGTCCCTTGCCCGGACCGCCTGGGAGAGCTGTGCAGGGCCGCCCCCCATCACTCCGGGGAGTCCTGCCCGGCCCCCACCTCGGTCCACCGGGCGCAGCACTCCACTGTAACAGATCACCTGGGCTGCTTCACACCCCACACGGCACCCCCAGCATCCTCCCACTGGCCTCCACAGCCCCCTGAGAAGTAGGTATGCCCCCCGAGTTTTAGGGGTGACCGAGGTTCGGGAGACAGCACCCGCTGAGAGCCGCGGTCGGGGCGGGACGGGTCGCAGCCCGAGGGCCTCCTGAGTTCTCCCCCGCGACCAGGACCCCAGCACGCAGCCCCCTGGGCCAGCCCTCCCCGGGACCCCGGGGCCTACACACGGGCCTGGAGCTGAGCAGACGTCTTGCAGAGGCTTTGAGTGTGCCTGGTAGTCTTTGTTTGGTTTAAGTGACGTTGTCCTTGTCACCGTGGCTGCGCCTGTCAGTCGTGTAGCTGTGTGTCCGTTCTTCTCGCAACTTGTCTCGTTCTCTCCTCCGTTGCAGATTGAAGTAGTCAATACTTTCAAGAGCGGGGCCTCCTTTCAGGGGGCCTTGCGGAGACAGTCCTCCGTCACCAGCCAGAGCCAGGACGTAGCCAATCTCTCTAGCCCTAGTCGCGTGTCGTTGTCCAATGCTCTTTCCTCTCCGGCCAGCCTTCCTCCTGCTGCAGCTGGGCGTGAGTGTGAATCCTTACTGCCTCGGGCGCCACCGACGCCAGTGCCGGGCGGGCAGGGGCCGGGGCACCTAGGACCCAGGGGGGCTGCCCGTCGTGGCGAGGCCCAGGGGGCTGAGGGGCCAGAGCCATCGGAAGGGTCCCGGTTGGTCAGGAGAGCATTGCCCGTCACGGGGTGGCAGTCCCTCGGTGGGCCAGGGCTGGCTGGGGACAGGGTCAGGGGGTTAACCACTCAGCTAAGGGGTCGTGAAGGTTGAAAGTGGCCACAAAGGTCTGGGTCAGTCAAAGGACCAGCGTCTGGAGGGCAGTTTCCCGTGATCAAATGTCCCAGCCCACCACAGGGTCACGGCGGCCAAGGGAGAGCAGTCAGCCAGGAGGCCAAGGGGGTCCCAGTCAGTCTAGGATCATACTCAGTCAGGAAAAGCCCGGCCCATGAGGGCAAAGTCAGAATTGGCCAAGAGGTCAGAGTCTTATAGTCAGGTAGGTGAAAGGTTACCATGGGTCAAGGCCCTCAGGGGTCACAGTCAGCCACAGTGGGGTCTAGCCGAGAGGGGGGTCACGAGAGGTCAGAGATCCCAGTCGGTGAGGGGTCCCAGGCCACCAAGGAGATCACAGCCTGGAGACCTCAGCCCAGCAGCTCAGAAGCCTCTCCCTTCTCCCTTGTACATCTGAGGGCATCCGCTGCCTCACACACACTTTTCCCTGCACACAGACGGTCTGACCCCTTCCTAGAAAGGATAGGGCTCCCGACCCATTCTGCTTGGCCTCCGGTACAAAACGGGGGGCCAAGGCTCACCTCTCGGCTGAGTGTCAGATCATCCCTGAAGGATCCGGTCTAACCCGTGGCTTCCTGCCCTTCCTCATCTCAGGGACAGTTGGGGACTCTGGCTTCCTCCACCTCCTCCCCCCTGCCAAGCTCACCTCCTCATGCCACCACCTCTGACCTGGCTCTCTCATTTCTGGCCTGTCTAGATCTTTCTGAACCCCTCCATGGCTTCAGGCCCCAGAGAGAATAAGAAGTCTCTTTGCCACCTGCCTCCTTTACCTTGGCTCCAGTCAGCCTCTCCCAAACCGTAAGGGAGCTCCTGGTTCTGGTCTTCTCAGATTGCCACGGTGTGTCTGTTCTAGCCCCCCGGCTTTTGATGAGGAACGGACTCTAGGCTTCACCTGTCCATATTTTATAAATGGCCTGTTCCCCCATCCGAACACAGCACATCCACCACACGCATCCCGTTCCACTGGGTGGGAAAGGACTCGCACGCAGGGTGGGACCTGGGCCATCTGACCCTCTGCTGGGAGACACAAGCCACAGAGAGACTGTTGATGGCATATGCTCCTGTCCCGTGACTGTCTGGTGGATGGAGCCCCGCCAGGTAGACAGGGTAAGAGTGAGGGTGCAGAAACGGGACCAAGAGCCCTTCCGTGTTCATTCGTTAGCACAAAAACCCAGCGATGGGGAGGGGGAGCCAAGGTGGGATGGAGAGCTCTTTGAGCAGATGGCGTCCAAGTCACGTTTGTGTGACTATCACTAGGAAGTCCCTGCTAGGCTTTCTCAGGGCAGGAAACACTTTGGTCCCATCCTCCTCCCCTTTACAGCAGAGAGCCTCACCCAGCTGACCTGCTCCCACGTCCACTTAGCGGTGGCCTTGCTCAGCACGACCTCCTTTCTTGAAGAGCAGTGACCAAGTGTTCCGGTCTAGGGGCGCCTGGCTGGCTCAGTTGGTAGAGCATATGACTCTTGATTTGGGTTCAAGCGTAGAGATCACTTTATTTTATTTATTTATTTTTTTTTATTTCTAGGAGAGAGAGACAGCATGAGCAGGGGAGGGTCAGAGAGAGAGGGAGTCACAGACTCTGAAACAGGCTCCAGGCTCCGAGCCGGCAGTCAGCACAGAGCCCGACGCGGGGCTCGAACCCACGAACCGCGAGATCGTGACCTAAGCAAAAGTCGGACGCTTAACCGACTAAGCCACCCAGGCGCCCCAGAGATCACTTTAAAAAGAAAAAGGAGTTCCAGTCTGGAGAGCCACTGGAGAAAGAATCCGTTTCTTTTTGTTCCGGCTACCTTCCCGCCCCACCCCCCACTCCCACCCCACCCCCGTCAGTGACCCCACAGCTCCCGGGCTGGGTCTGGCTGCCGGCATCTGGCTTCTGGGTGCTCACTCAGCTCTTAGTCCGTCCCGGGTTAGCCTCTTTCTGGAGGCATGGTGCTTCGCCCTGGCCACAGCCAGAGCCTACCTGGAACTCCCGGGCACCCATGCCGCCTTTAGAAGTCCCCCAGTGGCCTTACCCCTCCCCGTAGCTCTTCTAATCCAGAGAGAGAGCTTGGTCATCTCAAACCTGGGCAGTACCATTCTCACCTTTTCCTGTGCCTTTTAAAAAACCAGAAGGCCAGCCGAGGGACAATCAGCTCTCAACACTTCTCCCGAGAAACACCCATGTTTGTCCACCTTCCATTCTCTCCAAGGACCCAAAGGGAATGGTCAGGCGTGACTCCCTCATCCAATTGACGTCTGGCCTCCTGAGCATTTTGTATTCCTACCCTCTGTGGGAGACTCCAGCCCGTCACTCGGGGTGCTTTGTGGGAGCCTGACCATCCTCCTGGCCAAGCGTACTGGTACCAAAAGGGATCACAAGCTGTACGTTTCAACACACACATTTTGCTCACTACCGTCACCACGTGAACTTTAAATGAATACTCCCAGTCCCTCCTCCTCCTTCTGAATAGTTGCTGTAACAAGGACACACCCTCTGGTCTCTAAGGACTCTGAGGGCCCTCTGGCTACCAGGCCGGGTCCCTTCAAAAGCCAAAGGCTTTCTTCCCACGTGGCCAAAGTTAAGCGAAGGGGTCCCAACCTGGGTGGGATGGAAAGGTAGGCTGCCTCCCACCTCCTCTGAGCAGGGCCTTCCTCCTGGGGGATTCCCCAGCAGAGGAGGGTAGCCGTGTGCATGCGGAGTCCAGAATATTCTAGAAGGGGTCAAACCACTGTTCCCTGGGTTATCAAGAGTTAAGCACCTGTCCCTGGGATGGACTTCTGACTCATGACCTTGGGGTGAGGAGCCCCCCGCCACGCCACACATCACTCCCCCAGCACCACTGGGAGATGGAGGGTGCCAGGCAGACGCGCATGCAGGCAAGTGGCAGGCAGGTCAGAGAGGGAACTCTGGTCCTCTCTCGTGCCTTCCTCTTCTGACTGACGCAAAAATGAGTCTGTTATTTCCCCCCAGAAACTTAAAGGCACACCCCTAAGGTCTTATACTTGAGCCTCACTCAGCATTTTCCAAAGCTGTTCCCATACTCTTCACTTCACATATGCCTCACAAATGAATAGGACGAAGGGGTCTCTTCAATATATCCACCTACCTGAGAGAGACACTGAGGCTCAGAGAAGTGGACTGACTTGGCCAAGGTCACACCAGGGAGTGGCAAGAGATCTGACTCCAAAGCCCTCATCTTTCCCACCACAGCACACCATTTTCCAGACAAGTGCGCAGGCCCGGAGCCTGTAGAGGCTGAAGTTCCATTCCAGGACCAGTGCCCATGCCCACAGTCTCATACAGTGGGAAGGAGTCGGTCCTCTGGGGCCTAGAAGGCCAAGAAAGCAGCTTGAATTGCTGCCAGCCTGGCAGGGACTGGGGAGAAGGGCACCTTCTTGCTGGTGATCGAGGACGACATTAGCGTTCAGCTCTGACCCCAGGCCAAGCTGCACTCACCTGCACCCATCTCAGACCACTGTCGTATTTAGCAAGTGTGTAGCAGGCTCCGTGTGTGTCAGTGAAGGTCCTCCTCCTCCAAACCAAGCCAAGAACAGCAGGGTCCTAACCCAGAACCGGCCACTTTCTGGTCACTACCAGACCAGGCATCTCCTGTTGCCACTTCCCCATCACATCCCTGATTCTGAGGCCTGCTAGGAGCAAGGAGTTTGCATCTCTTAAGGGGAGAAACGAAGAAGGAAAGAAAAGAAAACTGTGCCTCTCCTTAGCGTTTTGGTAACTGACTTAGCGCAATCTTGGGTTGGTGAGAAAATGGCTTGCTTCTGGGGTGGGGTCTAGACCTCTCCACTGTCTGAATATTCCATGTGTTTGTTTCCCTAGAGGGCTAGAGAACCCTGGATACAGAGTTCAGCAAGAGAGAGTGAAATTAAAAGAGGTTGTGAGTCTTTAACCTTGAGCCTGAAATGAATGTGAATCAATCCCAGACTCTTGGCTTCCCTGAAGCCGGGTAAACATTCGAGTATGTAGGACCCGCCCCAGCCCGGGGCCACGCATTTCCTCAGAGCCCGCCAACACGGGCTGGGTGTCCGGCTCCCTTCGTGCTGATGAAACCAAAATGTCTAAAATCCCATAGGCCTGGTCCTTACCCCGCCCCCCTCCCCCCATGCCCAAATGCGGTTTATGCCCCAAAATCTCACTTTAGGGTAGGCAGGGAAGGGAGGCGGAAGAGCTTTTTTTTCTTCCCGTATATTTTTTTTCATTTCAGCCGCGGAGTGAACCGAAGTGGAGACTTGAGATGGCCATGGCGGGGTGTCCCGAAAAGTCTCGTCCCCACAGTCTTGTCCAGAGCAGTTCATTCTTTCTGTTGTCTCCATGCCAGGGGGAGGGCGAGGGACCTGCATCTCATTGTGTGTCGTCCCCTCTGCATTTTCAATCACATGACAGGGTCCTGGCACCATCTCTCCTCCTCCACTGGGCGCTCCAGCCAGCATCTGACTGCAGTTCAGCCTCCTCAGAACACACTGGGCAGTAGGCTGGGCAGTCCCAGTGATAACTATTCCCATTTTACAGATAAGAAAACTGAGGCCCGCAACACCTTTTTCATTGTTTTCACTTAATCAGGGGTGTAGTGGCCTGCTCCTCAGGAGATCAGAATATTTAAGAGCCGCTACAGAGCCACGAATGGGGAATCCAGGGAGAAAGAAGCCTGAGAGCAGTGAAATGCTTGTCAGAGTACCAGCACTCAGACATCTGGCATCTGCGGGCCCCTGATGCCTCTTATGTAAAGCATGATTCCACCAAGGAGGGTCCCGTGGAGTCCCCAGCCCTGGCACATGAGAAGGAAAAGGGACAGAGATGATTTTGAGAAAACAAGGAAAAATCAGAACTAGTCACGAAGGCTGACAACAAAGTTAACAAAAATAAATAAAGGAAATCAAAACCGTGGGGTCTTACCCAAGACCGAAAAGGATTCCTGACCAACTTGAAGTTAAATTCTTCTCTGTATCCGCTACACGGAAAGGCAGAGGGGCATCTTACATGCTTTAGAAACACTTCCCTCTGAAATAGTAAGATAAACCCCGGGCCGTGATACTGAAAATCCTCAGCCGCAGTCACCTAGAAAACTCACTTCCACGGCCCGGGCTTTCCCCACCCGTGTCCCAGCGGCTAGCTACCCCTGGGTTTAGCTGAAAGTTCTACAAATCCTGGACCACTAGGGCCTCCCCACGAGGGCCCCAGCGGCCACCTGCCTCCCGCAGGCCTGTGGTGCGGAGGCAGCCTCGGCCCGGGGGGGGGGGGGGACCCCTCTCCGCTCCACAGTCACCTTGGCTGACGTTCTGTTCTTTGAGGCCGCGAGACTCCCCCTGCCACGGCCTCTGCTCTGAGCTGGGGCTGAGACCAGAGGAGAAAGCACCTTTTTGTCCCAAGTCCCATCTGTGCCTGGAGATGACAGGCAGGACTTCCCTTTCCCAAGAGTCTGGAGAAGGGACCCCTCTCTTCAACACGGGGGTCCTCTTCCTCTGCAGCCCGTGAGACAGGACAGACGACGACCAGTGAGGCAGTGTGGCCGCTTGCCCGTGGTCAAGGCACCAAAAGTGCCGGAGCCAGGACTCAGGCTCGGGTCTTCCTGACTCTGAGTCCAGGGCTCTCTCCGCTAGGCTGGAAGACTCAGGATCCAACCCCCTTTCACGGTTCAGAGAATCTGGACTTCCAACGAAGACAGAGAAAATGAAAGAATGTGCTGTTTTGTGGCTCAGGTCCACACTCCCTAGAATCCCACGCAGGGCTGGGTTTGGCCATCTGATTCTGGCTTCCTTTTTGGGGGGTTTTGTGTTTTCAAAGCACAAGTAAATAAAATACAAGGAAATAAGAGACCCCAAAGCCAACTCCAATGACTGGCCAGGGCTTTGAGTCAATACTCGAGTGTTTACCTCCCAAATGCATGAAGGAAAGAAACGTTGGGTACAAAGACCTCCGTTCACATTGTCCAGGCTTCCAAGTGTAGCCGTGTGTCTGTCTGTGTGTGCCGTGTGGTTCCTGACCCCTCACCGTGGCATGCTCCCGCCCATGAATGTCATCAGTCAGCCGGCTCCTTCGTGCTTTCTGGCTGCCTTTGCTCTGCACCCCAGAAAGCCCTGAGTTGGCTTTGGTTTGCTTTGCTGCCTTCGGTTTGATGTTCCTCGTGTGTCTCTCCCCATCCCAGCTCATCCAACTGTCTCCCCCCTTTCTGTTCCTCTTCTGTTTGTGACACGTTATCTGTTCCATGTTGTATGGTTTCTTAACTGTGTGTGGTTTTTTTGAAGACTGATTTTCTAAAAATAGCCTCTCCTCCTTCCTCCTCTATTCCCACCTGGTCCCGCACCCCTACTGCATGGTTGAACTTCTGCTCTAAAGTTAACAAGGCTCAGTCTCTCACTAGGTCTGGGTGCCGGCCGGAGTGGACTATGCTTCCTCTAACCACTCTTTCCCACCATCTCTGTGACGGGGCTCGATTCCTCCTGTCCTAATACCGTAGTTCTGACCAAAACCCAAGCAGTTTTTAAAACCTCATGGATGCATATAACCTGAGCCCCCTCTTCCATTCTTCCCCCTCCTGCCCATGCTCATAACACCCAGCGACTGTGGATTCCAGCCGCCTGCTGTGCCCTAACCCCTCCCCCCACCCCGACTCCGAGCCCCCCTCCCCCCCCCAGCTTGGCTGCCAGGCCCCCTCCCCAGGGCGGTGCTTCTCACCCCTGTGCTTCCCTTGCAGATTCGCGTCGTGAAGGCGTTCCGTAGCTCTCTCTATGAAGGTCTAGAAAAGCCTGAGTCTCGAACCTCCATCCATAATTTCATGGCTCACCCCGAATTCCGGATCGAAGATTCCCAGCCCCACATCCCCCTCATCGACGACACCGACCTGGAAGAAGATGCCGCGCTCAAGCAGAACTCGAGCCCGCCTTCGTCGCTCAACAAGAACAACAGCGCCATCGACAGCGGGATCAACCTGACGACCGACACAAGCAAATCAGCTACCTCTTCAAGTCCAGGGAGCCCCATCCACAGCCTGGAGACGTCGCTTTAGCTGAGGACCCCGCCGCCACCCACCCCCGGGCCCCACCCATCCAGGCACCCAGCTCACCCAAGCAGCAACGAGCAACAACAGGAAACCAAATACTGGCGAGAAAACCAACATTTCCACCCAACAGACCCTTTTTTCTGGCTGCGATGCTGTTTGAACTCTTTTTCACTCTGAGGCAAGGGGCGGGGTCTCCTTGGGGGGAGTGGGGGGAGGCTCACAGGAGTGAGCGATTTTCCCAGAAGGAGCCCTTCCCGGCTCCCGCCCGCGAACATGGACCAGCCATGCACCCGCCAGGCCACCACGTCCCCTGCATGAATGTACTGTACACTTCCAGTCCTCCCCTTGTTTGGTTTGGGGGGAGGGAGGGGGTCGGGGAGGGTTTTTTGTTTGTTTTCTTAGGCGGGAACTGACAACAGACTCTTTTCTGAGACTATTTATCCAATCCACTGGTCTGTGAGTTTTTGAAATGCTTGCACAGCATGGTCTCAGTTGCATAGGTTAATTTAACAACGTTTTGAAACTGCAGAGCTTAACTCACCTAGTAAATTTGCACCAATGGAACCGAAGAACTTCATAGACACTCACAAGGTTATATCCATTTCTTTGTATCTATATCAACGTATACTTTTCCGAGACTGTATACGTCCATATAGATAGGTATATATATATATATATATATATATATATATATATATACACACAAGGATATATAAAGTTTTTTTGCCGGCATGTTGCCTTGTTTCCGCTTAAATTGCTCTATTTTAACTTATTTATGTCCTAAAACAAGAATGTAATTTGTTTACAAACCTGTAGATAACGTCTTTGGCTATTTGTACGGTTTAAGAACACTGGTGGCTGGTGGCTGGGATGCTAGAAAGACGGCTCAGCCCAACAGACACTTCCCTGGATTGCATCCTTGATGTTTTACAATAGCCATGCTCTGATTTTTGCCTGCTGTTTCCGTTCCATTATGTCACTACCGTGGGCGGCTCAGGCAGAAGCCAAACGCTACCGAGTGTCCATCCAGAGGGGGTTAACACCATGCTCGTGCTCTGTAGACGCAGGGAGAGGAGGAGAGAAGGCTTCCTAACAGCCGGCTCGGCCCGAGGATGACGGGGCCCGCCAAGCTCTGGTTGAAGACTTTTCTCTCGATGAAACTCGCTTGAGTTTACTAAGAGCATTTCAGAAAAAGGTTCTCTTTGGCACTGTCCGTACAGAGATGGAGGTAGTGTCGCAATATTATAAATGCTACTGTGTTGATTTTTTTTTTTTTTTTTTAGTAATTTAGAAGTTTATTTACTTATAAATTGCAGCGTCTGAGCTGTTGGCATACTGAATGAGGATCATTAAGGCCTGCTGCTTTTATTTTTATTTTTGAAGAAGAATAGCCTTTTTCTCTGCACTATTTAGATCCGAACGAACCTTATGATGTGTATATTGAGATGTATTCAGTGTGATTTTTAAACCAAATTGTCTTCCTGTAGTCGCAATATATACTGTAGCCTTCCGACGGCAAGTCTTGCTTTCCCAGACAGAAAGCCATTCTGAAACCCTACAGTATCACAGGTGAGAAAAGGTGGTTATTTTCGCCCCAAGACAATAACGGCACTAGGAACCCCACTTAACGAGAGCTTATTTAATTGTACGTCAGCCTCTTAACTGCTAAGCACTTTGTGGGTATCAGCTGTTTTCATAAAAGAACTTTTGTATTTAATACAAAGTTTGCTTTGAGACTTTTCAGCATACAATCTTTTTCCATAAACTTGTACAGTGCAAAAGACATTTTGAATACCATGATCGATGACGTCCCATGCATCGAGGAAAACCAAACACTTTTTCACCTCGCTTGCAAAACCCGCATTCCTCACGCCGACCCTTCCCACAGTTGCTCTGTGTCTGCTCGGCCCTTCCCTTCTCAAGGCCCAGAGAATTCTTCCACACACAAGATGAGAGCCACTCGGGAAAAGAGCCATAGTCAGCTGGGAGGGCCTACGTCTGGGTGGCCGTGAAGAAAACCTGAGGGTTTGGGATCCCAAGTCAGCCCATCCCACCTGGCAAAACCTTCCCGGAAGGAGGACCTTCTGTGTGCAAGAGCATCACCTGCATGTCGTGAAGGAATATCTCTGAATGTACCCAGCAGAGGAAACTGCATCCCCAAAGGGGTGACCAGCCCTCAGATACGCCTATTGGATTCCAACATAAACACCACCAGAAGCCAGCCCACTGCTCACCTGCCGAGAAAGCAAAGACCCGCACGTGGAAAACGTGGAGCAGCCCTGGATCACCGTGGTTTTTCGTAGTTTCTTTTCTCAAGGTTTTCCATCTCCCCACCTTCTTCGCTCCAGTCTTGTGTCCATGACCTCATCCCGCGACGCCAGGAAAGCTGCGCTTGCACAACTGTGCTCCCTGTTTTTTTGGAGCCAGGACACAGGGAAAACCAGGAGGGGTTTCTCTGAGGGGAGCCTCGCTTGGAGAACAGGGAGCAGCGGAAGTGACGGAGGACACCCGACATCCGCGTTGGGCTCTTCTTGTCAGGAATGATGGATGCTCACACACACACACACACACACACGCACGCACGCACACACGCACGCACGCACACGCACACAGGAAATGATTGGTTTGTCCAAACTCACTGTAGTTCATACAGCTTGCACTCTGCGTCCTTTATCTAGCAGCATGGGGTACATTTGGCAGTTCACCCCATTAGGGGGTAAATAATTTATGACCATTCATCTGTTTTTATGAATTTTTTTATCTAGACAATAACTGTAAATAAAGAACTCACCGTCTCTGTTCATTTAATACTATGCAATGGTTATGCTTCAGTTGCTGACTCTTCTTACTCCCGCAGTGTGATTCTGAGCTGTCTGTGGTTTTAAAAAAAAAAAAAAAAAGGAAAAAAACCAAACTCGAACAGAACACAGTACATATATCTTCTGTAATGTATATATTTTTTTCCTGGTTTGGGACTGCACCATCCACGGAGCTGCTTTTCTGTCCTCTGGACGAGGGCTCCAGGAGAAGGTAGCAGATTCATGCTGAGGTCTAAGTTTAGCAACTCGTCTCCCCTGAACAGATAAGGGCGAAGGGCCCATTTAGCGGCCCCTGACGCTGGAGAATCATCCACTTTTGGAGGTGGGCGAGGGAGGAAGTGTGTCCTCCCTGCAGCTGAGGCAGTGCTCTCCCTAACCCAGAAGCAGCCTCGATGGCTCCCACCAACCCCTCACCACGGCCCCTGCCCTCCTTTGTCCCAACTGGAACACAGAGCACTCTCTGCTTTTGAGACCAGACCAGTGGCAATGACGGTCCCCGGCCAAGGGCTCTGGACCCGTCTCAGCCTGGGTATTCTGCCACCCAAGCAACCACTCTTTTGCCAACCATGTTGAAATGCCCCCTGCGCCACATACTGATGGCTTTTATAGATTCGGGTCTATTTCTGGAATTTCTCTTCTGTCCCCTTATCCGGGTGTCTCATCTGGCACCAGCCATACGGTTTTAATTACTGTGGCTTTATACGTTTTATCATGTGATAGGATAAATACCCTTCTCTCTCTCTCTCTCTTTTTTTAAACAGAATTTGCGGGTTATTGTCTCACAGCTGTTCTTTCAAGTAAACTTTAAAATGTTGCCAAGTCCTCTCCCAGCCCTTGCCCTTCCCCCACCCCAAACGCTAGGCCCTGTGATTCGATGCGCAAACATCTTCCTGCCATTGTAAGCACTGTTCACTCAGGGTCGCTAAATAGAGCGTCTCATCAGGAGAAACACAAAGATGTCCTAAATCTTAGGGGGAGGCTGGATGTTCCCCCCGACAACATCTTGCCTATACCCGAAAAGCAAGGGCATCAACACGAGAGGCCACCAAGTCCCCTCCCAAGCTCAGTTTGGGACCCAAAGTCACCCACCTTGGGTGTGCTGGAGTCACCCCTCCACCTTCCCCAGTCCAGAAGAGAAAGAAGGCTCTCTCCCAGACCTGGAGCTACCAGAATGTGTGGCCCGGTTGCTTATATTTCTAATTCTCCTCATGGAGAAACATTTATTCCCATCTCCTTCTCCTGAACTGCTTTTATTTTTTGGGGAGGGGGGGGCGCTGGGAGGCGGGGGGAGTTCACTTCTTGTTCTTTATGCAAAGTTTTTTCAGTGGTTGCATGATAGGTCCTTTGGGATGCAGCCATTTCTTTCCTGGACCTTCACCCCACCCTGGCCCCCTGCCCACTCTTGATCCACTTACAGGAGGCTGTCAGCCAGGTGCACTGTGACGTGCCTCCCACCCAAAACTCTCTCCATAGTGTCCGAGATCCCATCAGAAGATGGGAGGGGTGCATTTCTTGAACACTTCGGGTCTTCCAGACCCAAGGCCTAAATCAAACAACAGCAGAAAATCCCCAGGTCCTTTCCAAGTTCCAAAGCAAGTTCTCCTGATTGTGATGTAGAGATCCTACTCACCCAAGTAGAGAGAAGGGGCTCCCAGGCCCCGGGCATCAGCCATCACCCCCTCCAGCAAACACAAGACATTTGAGGCTGCTCTGGGACCTTCTCAGCCCCCGAAGTCTGTTTTGTAATGCCTGTGGTGCTCTCCCTCCGGACCTTTCCTCTCGGGGGTCGCCACACTTTGCTAACTCTTGTGTGCACATATTTTATAACAGAGTAGCGAGGAAATGGTGCCGTTCCAGCTTCCACGAGCTGCCCGGGCTCTGGGGGGGGCTCTGGGGCAATGGGGGCTGGGAAGTGACTGTGCTCTTATTGTACACTCTTTATTTTCTCTGTATCTCTGGCTTGTGCTCTTTGTAACTAATGGGATTTGTCTGCCTTTTCAACACTATACTGAGCAATAACAATAAATGCACACGTGGAAACGCAGACACGGTACACATCACAAGGCCTTTTTCCGCAGGGTCCTCGCCCTCTGTGGATTTGACTCGGGAAAACTGAGTCTCTGGGAGGGAAAGGCGCTTTGCCCCAGGGTGCATGGCTCAGTGGGCGTCTGTCTCCTTCCACCAGGTCAACCTTTTCAAACATCCACCATTTGAGGGAGAGAAGTTGAACCTGCCATAAGTCATTGACCTTTCGTGAGAAACAGCGAACAGTCCCAAAAAGAAAGACTTGGCAGGGGGGGGGGGAGGGGGAGGAAGAAAGACTCAGGAGGAGGAGGAGGAAGAGATTTGGGGACAGAGGGTCTGGGAGGTAGGGGTACAAATGGGGGAAAGATAAGAAGGGCCTGATTTGGGGTCCAGAATCAACTGGAGGGAGGTGATGGGAGCTATGGACAAAGGATGTAGGTGGGATCCCTTACTGGGGAGGGGGAGGCAGAGGGGAGCCTGGCACCCTAAGAATCTGAACTTTGCAAACCACTGCTGAGCAATAGCAGAAAACAAGAATGTGCCCAGACCAAGAGATAGTCTCAATGTTGGTTCAAAGCTTGAGGGTTGCACATGTGCACCTCCCCCCACCAACACACACACCCCCACACACGCACGCACACACGCTAAAGGCCAGCCCTTCTGAGGGAGAACTGACCTCCAGACCAAGCACGATGAGCCCATCCAGCTTCCAAACAGTTTCACATCCCAGAGACCATTTACTCCCAACATCAGCCTTCGGCATAGGTATTATAATCCCCACTTAGCAGACGAGAAGACAGCAGCTCAGGAGAGGTGAAGGGTACACCCACCTAGGAAGGAGAAGATACACGAGTGATCCTAACGGTCGCGATGCCAGAACTGGCCCTCGAAACTTCTGTATTACAGTCCCACCAGCAAATACCTTAATGAATAAGATACAACTGCATCGTCTCTCCCAAATCCCCAGTCTCTCCAACTTCAATGCCTACTCGGGGGGAATCCTTTAACAACTATATTATTTGTATTATATCAAAAATATCATTGTCCCCATTTTCCACTCGAGAAAAGCAAGGCTCAGAGAGAGGTAACGCACCCAGAGAATCAGGGTGCAGCTACAGATTAAAGGCCAGGGCTTGGCCCTTGAAGAACAGGACACCCAAGCACCCTGGCCCCTTTGAGCCCCTGCTCCACTTTAAGCGCCACCGCCAACATCCCTGCAATATTCTCCCATTAGGGGGAAATAATCTTGAATCTCGGGTGGGGGTGGAAGGGTGGGCTACCGCCTGGACGCCCAGCACTTAACTCTTGAACACCCCACAACCTTGGCCCCCGCTCCGAAGTTCCCTGATGCTCTAGGTCCGTCACGCTCTCTGAGCCCTAACATCTGCCCTCCAGTAGTGACCATCACCATCTAGAACTCTTCCGTCTAGTGTCAAGACAGAAACTGAGGGATTGTGACTTAAACAAGGGGTGCCTAGACTCTATCCTACGTCACTGGACTCATTAACGCCGTGAGGGGTCCTGGGCTGCCAGACCACGTGCGGCTGAGGGGAGCTTCCGGGCTCCGTCCAGCAGTACTGCATTCTCATTGTGCTTGGAGGAAGCCCGGGACCTAGGGGTTGGGGACACCGGGGTTTAGGTTCTGGGTGCTAGCTTCAAGAGCCTAGCTGACATCCCCCCCCCCTGCCTGGGGTATCCACCTGGCAGACCAGACTCACAGGATCCCAGGACTGTGGGGGAGGGGCAGTTCGGAGGCGTTGGCTCGCTCCCAATTCTTGGAAAAGGCAGGGTGAGAGGGCTCAGCCTCTGGGAACTGGCATTCCCTGCCCTTCTCTGCCTCTGATCCCAACTTTGGGTCCTCAGGAGGGACGAACAAGAAAGCACTAGGACCAGTCTACCCACCGCCCTAAAAATGACTCATCCTACAAGGTTCACCCTAAGGCCGGTTGCACCCACACCCGCAGGGAGGGAGGTGAAGCTGTGGTTATGAATCCTTCCTTTCGTGTACGGATCCCAGGAAAAGGGAAGGGCGCTTCCGGAGAGAAGACCAGCTACAGCTACGGATTCCGTAAGCGCGGGGTAGGAGCCTGGCCTCGGAAGCGAGAGCTCCACCCCCTTTGGTCTCGACGCTCTGCACGCAGAAGGGGCGGGGCCTTCGGTGGGCGGGGCACCGCCCGGGAAAGGCACGGACCTTTCGTGCGAGCGGAGCGTGTTGCTACCCGGAGGCTCTGGCGCCGCGGTCCGACCGCCGGCCAGCCCGGCGCCGGAAGTGAGCTGTTCGGGGGCGCCGCCGGGAGCTGCCACGTCCGAGACCGGGAGCTGCCCACCGTCGCAGCCATGGTGAGTGTGGGGTCCGGGGACGCGGCCCTCCCGGGTTCCACGACTGTGCGGACGTTCAAGCCCCAGACCGGGGCCCCTCAGCTCCCCCTCCCCGCTTCGAGGTTTGCGGGGCTCTGGTCTTGTCCCTCGGAACCTGTCGGAGGGGGAGGCCAGAGGGAGGCCTTAGAACCTCTTAGAACTCTGCGGACCGCCTTGCTGCCGCGTCTCTTGCTTTTTTTTTTTTTTTCCTCCTCTCCCTCTTCCCCCAACAATTGAAAACAAAACCCAGAACACCGTAGGTGCTACTGTATATCCCGAACCCTTAGCAAGTTCCAAGCGTTGTCCATAATCTCCGCCTGCTAACAGCCCTGCAGAATAGGTGCTGTTATTATTGACACGTTACACGTGAGGGAGCTTGTTCGGAGAGGTGAAGCCCCTTATACAGCTGCTAAGTGGCAGAGCTGAGATTCGAACCCTCTTAGCCAGTCCTTTCCACCGCCTATCACCTCTCCTTGCAGAGATGTATGGGGAACAGTTGCTCGGCGTAGGGCCCGCAGGTATGATGGGCACTTCCAAGAAACTCATGTGAGGATGAGCCTTCAAATGACCCTCCGGGGTTGGGGCTCAGTTGTTTAAATCTCTGGGATCCAGTGTACAGTCGTTCCACATTTATTCTTTGAGTGAATGACTGAATGGTAACTAATGAATAAAATCATGTCGCTGGAGCCAGGCAGGGGGGTTGGAGGGGGGAGATCCAGAGTAAACGAGTGCTCTCAGGAAATTTGGGTGTGCCTGGGTTTTTTGAGGAAACCTGGATGAACCAGAAGTGAGGACACTGGGTTTAGTTCTTGCTCTGCAGGGTTTGAAATTACCCGTCTCTTTTGGCCCCTGATTGTTCAGCCGCTGAGTAGAATCTCTCACGCTCTGATATTCGGCGCTCTATAAATGAAATTTTAACTCCCCAGCCGATTCTGAAGGACTGAATTGTTTTAAGGGCTGTCTCTTACTACTTAACAAGGACCAGACAACGTGAGGTGCTCGGGAGGAAGGACTTTTTTGGAAAAGAGCTTGAAAAGAAAAGAGAGAACGCTTGTTAAGAAGTGCGGTTCCCACCAGTCCTGGCTGGTGGATGAGGATGGTTAAAAATTAATGCTGGTTTTCCCTAAGGCCCTTTGGTGACCTAGGGCAAAACTAACCAGTAAACTGTGTTCCTGACTTTGCTTAGCCCTCAGCCACTGATTTAGGGAAGTCAGGGTAACAACTACTTTATATTGTAGATAGGCAGGCTGGTGGAGTGGAGAGCTTTGCGAGCTGGGAATTAACAGGTGGGGCTCTTTTTCCACCCCCCTTCCCCCCCTTGAACGAGCTCTTTGACTTTGGCTAGTGCTCCCTCTTGTGGGTTTCTTCGTCGTCTTAGTTATCAGGTGGCTCCAGTTCATTCTGCCCTTTGTCCTTCCCGGGGCATCTGTGAGAGTACTTTGTAACCCAGACAGCTTGGCAGGAGGAAGAGACTCTTTGTCTTCGGTACTTGCCTTTGCAGACCTTGGAGCTCTGCTTGTTAGGGAGTCTAGAATCTGACGAAAAAACCGGTGCGTCCTTGCGATGTACTGCTTCCTTTGGAACTGCTTTGCAACTGCCCTCTTCCAGTGTCCACCTTTCCGAAAATTCAAGTCAGACTTTATACCTGCAGGGCTTGTACCGGAAAAAAATGAAATGGGAGAGGTGATAAGAAATACCAGTTTCAGGTGCCCCGGCAGCTGAAGTTGGTGAAGCATCCAACTCTTGGTTGCCGCTCAGAGTCAGGATCTCACAGTCATAAGATCGAGCCCCAAGTCAGGCTGCAGTCTGGGCTTGGAGCCTGTTTGGGATCCTCTCTCTCTCTCTCTCCCTCCCTCTCTCCCTCTCTCCCTCTCTCCCTCTCTCTCTCCCTCTCTCCCTCTCTCTCTCTCTCTCTCTCCCCCTCCCTCCCTCCCCCCCTTTTGTCCTCCTCCGTTTTCTCACTTGCTATCTCTTTCTCTCTCAAAAAAAAAAAAAAAAAGAAAGAAAAAAAGAGAAGAAATACAATTCCAAACTGAGACCTCCCTTCCAGTCCTTTTCTGTCCCAAGAATTTAAAGGGAATAGTGATTGAGCAAAGTAAAGCAGTCTGGTTTTGTTAATTTACTTATTCATTGTGCAAGCAGTCACTGAGTTCCTTTTGGTTGCAAAGCACTGTGCTTGGGTGATTTAAAAGATTCAGAACTGTGGATGACACAGACCCTGGTGTTCATTTTGTGTTGAGAGAAGAAACAGTGTAAAGTGGGGGCACCTGGGCGGCTCAGTCAGTTAAGCATCTGACTTCAGCTCAGGTCATGATCTCACGGTTCGTGGGTTCAAGCCCATGTCAGGCTCTGTGCTGACAGCTGGGAGCCTGGAGCCTGCTTCAGATGCTGTGTCTCCCTCTCTCTCTGCCCCTCCCCCCCCCCACGCTTCTGTGCTTGCACATGAACGCACGTGCTCTCTCTCAAAAATAAATAAAAAATTTTAACACAGTGTAAAGTGCTGTAGACATTAAGTGCTTAAGATATTCAGAGGAGTCCAGCAGGTTGGGGAATTTGGGAATCTTCAAGAAGAGGGGCATGATCTGAGCTGGACCTCAAAGAGTGCATAGGAGGGTGATGACCGTGGCCGCTGGGTTCCAGCCCTATAAGCTGCGAGGCCCTGGATCCCAGTGAGTGACAGACTAGGATCGGTCACAGATGGTGGGGCAGGGGGCAACTTCAGGAGAAACTTGAACCAGCTCTCCAAGTCTTAGGTGTTAACCCTGTTACGTAAAAAACTGCCTGTAATGTCAGAAGCTGTGTCATCCAGGAAGGGAATGACAGAGCTCCCCCAGGGTGCCTCTTTACCCTCAAAAGTAGCCACGACTAGTTGCCATCCCCGCCCCCGCCTTTGCTCATGGTATTCCCTGTGCTTGGACTTTACTTACCCCTGTGCCACCGGGCAAGTTTCTCCTCCTCCGAGCCCCAGTTCGTGTCTGCCAGCACCAGCAGCCCAGGGTGTTACCGTGCACATAAACCACTGTTAAAGTACTTCTCCTTCCATGTCAGGGTTAATTATGTACCGTATTCTTAGGGGGAAGAAATACTTCTTTGCTTTTTTTTTTTTTTTTTTTTAATTTTGAGAGGGAGAGAGCACGCATACAAACAAGGGTGGGGTAGGGAGAGAGTCCTAAGCAGCTGCACAATGTCAGCACAGAGCCTGATGGGGGGGCTCCGGCTTACTAACTGTCAGGTTAGGTCATGACCTGAGCCGAAGTCAAGAGTCAGACACTTAACCAACTGAGCCATCCAGGTGCCACCAGAAATACTTGTTATTCATGTCTGTATCTCCATTCCCTGGCAAAAAGACATGCTTAACGTAAGTGTTTAATGAACGAGTGAACAAATGCAGGCAAGAACTTTAGAAACGACTGATAGGCTTAATTTGCATTCTAACTGCCATCTGTTCGTTTACTAGCTATATGTTTGGTTCTAGGTATCGGTCATTAACACTGTGGACACGTCCCATGAGGACATGATTGTAAGTATTCCGTTAGCCTTCCCTCACGGGCTGCACGGGTGTGCATTTCGGGGCAGGAGAGCATTTCTGTCCATCGTTCATAAATCCAGTGTGGCTTTGCACCCTTTAGTCAGGCCGTAGCCTCGGGGTGTGGTCATTCTCCCGGCTGTGGCTGTGCCTGCCGCATTAGCAGGACCCTGGCACTCTGGTCACTCTGGCGGGAGGAAGCTGGGCATGGTTTAGAGCCCACGGCCCTCGGTCCTCAGGCCAGCACAGTCACCTGCTCTGAGGCGGAGGCTGGTGTGAAGGTCTGACAATGGTTTTCCCACCTGCCTTCCTCCTGCTGCCACTTCCTAGCCCCATAGCAAAGGGGGCTGAAAGAAGAGAGCACAGGAAGGTTACTCGGAACAAAGGCAGAGAGCAGGCACCGCAAAAGCCCGAAGCAGCTGACGTAGGACTGCCACCGACAGCAGGCCAGGCAAAGCCCTTCGAACCAGAAGTCATTAGCTCAGGGCGTTTCCTGAGAGGCAGACCTTCAGAATCAGGGACCAGGGCTGAGTGTCCAGGACAGCGCGGTGGGGCGGGGCTCAGTGTCCGAGACTGCACGGTGGGGCGGGGCTCGGTGTCCGGGACAGCGCGGTGGGAGAAGGTCCGGAGATTAAAGTCTCACAGCGAAGATGCAGAGTCTGCTGCATGCGGGGCCACCCTCCCAGGGCTCCTGCCCTCACAGCCTCACCGGCGGCTGCTTTCGGGCTTCTGAGAAGCTGCCCGGGTTCACGTGGTGTATATGGTTTTTGGACTCGGTTGTGTGTTGGTCTGGCTGTAAGACCACACCTCCGTAGAAACTGCGTGGTATGTGGGTAAGAAAATCCTATCTGAGACTCCCGCCAGTCCCTTTTCTGGGCACTGATTTCCCCACAAGTAAAATGGGGACAATAATGGCTAAGCTAACCTACTGGTGTGGATTAGGTTTGAGAAGCCGATGAGGCAAAGTAGTAATGGCAACAACTCTTAAAGCAGATGCCACCAGTAGCCCCGTTTAAAGAGAAGGAAACAGGTTTAAGGAGATTATGTCATTTTTCTAAGGTTGCAAGGCAGGTAAGGTAAAAAGATAGGCTTTAAGCCCTGTAGGTACTGTGCCCTGCTTCCTGTTGAGCATGTGATGGCGCTCTGCAGAAGTGCCCAGAAATCTGTCCTAACGCTTGCATTGCCTGCCTTCCAAGAAGTCAGGACCTAGAAGAGTGGAGGGGGTTGGCTTCCAGAGAAGAATCGGCACGTGTTTCTCAGGTAGAGACATGAGGAAAGAACGTTGAAGCAGACAGAATGATTGCTTCTGTTGAAAGAGTGTGAGTGCTCCTGAACACAGCAAGACTGGCAGCTGGTAGTTCCTGAAACCCCCAAGATGAGACAGCTGAAGAAGGTACCATCTTCGGAATAGGCAGCAAACAGGAAGGACCAGGATGCAGTGGGAGAGCAGGCGTTGTGGCTCAGGGGAACCGGATAGACCAGAGCTGTGGGCAGGGACCAGCCCTAGGTCTGGATGAACAGTTAGCATCCAGAAGGTCCGTTCATCAGTGGTGGGGCCGGTGACATTTAAGGTGTTGGTGAAGAGTCTGGGTACTGGGCATACTACTAGGGGAAAGGTCTAGTACTAATGCAGGAACAGAGGTCCGCCAAGAATCTAAGGTCATGGGTGGAGAAAGGAGCCCAAATGTCTGAGTAGAACCTTGTGTCCAGGCCCGGTTTGAGTTACTGGGGACCTCACTGGGGACTGCAGGCCGTCAGAGGCTGCTCCTCCGGACCAGCATTGGCCCTGGGCTCTGGGGCCGAGGTGAACACGCAGGTCTCTTGCCAGTAGCCGGCAGGGCCTCAGAACGTGGTGCGGCGTGAAGAAGGAAGAAGAGGGAGACTAGCCAGTTGGCGTTCCGTCTCCCCTACCCACCCTACAGAATAGGCTTGGAAAGGACTTCCCATGTTTGCGAAGGGTCTGAAAGCAGCCAGGTGTGGCTTTCCTTGTCCCTTCAGAAAGACCGTGCCCCTCAGGGAAATGGCAGTGTCGGGACACTAGCTTGTTGCCTGACAGTGGTGCTGCTTTGAGGTTAATTTCAGGTAAATTCTGGGGTAGACTGTGACGACCCCGCCCCCGGCCGCCCGGCTGCGGGCTTGCTGAGCTCTCCTCCCTTTGCAGCACGATGCCCAGATGGACTACTACGGCACCCGCCTGGCCACCTGCTCGTCAGACAGGTCTGTCAAGATCTTCGATGTGCGAAATGGAGGACAGATCCTCATCGCCGACCTCAGGGGGTGAGTGCAGCCCCACCGGGCGGGGTCTCACAGGACGGTGGGACTGCTCGGGAATGGCAGGGAGAGCCAGGAACCCGGGCCAGAGGAGCCCGTGGGGCAGTCAGCAGAGAGAACACCAGGCTCCCAGCCAGGTGACTGCCCTCAGTGGACATCCGGGCCGAGGGACCCAGGGATACACCCCAGCGTTGCCACCCACATACTCACTAGCAGACCCTGGGCAAGGGCCAGTCTGCCTCTCAGGGCCTTCACCTGCTCACCCTCAAAACTGCCGTTGCTGCCTCCTCCCAGGCAGAGCCTGCTCACCACAGGCCTGCAGTAGCTACTGCTCCTTTTAAAAGTGGGAAATGACCTTTTTGTTGTTGTTTGGCTAACATGATCTAAGGTGGCACTCAGAGGCAGTAATGCAAGGATGACGTTGATGTAAGAGTGCATTAGTAATGATAGAAATCCCATAGATGTGCCTGTTCGCCCATGGCACATACTCAGTAACGTTTACAGATGCTCGATTTATCCTCTCCCTGCTGAGATTCTTGAGATGCTGGCTGGTCCTTATGCCCATGTTTCTACCGCTTTCCCTCATTCCACTGCCTTTCAAATAAAGGGGAGTTCCTAACCTGGATTCCACGGGTCTCTGAGGGTTCTGTGGATGGCATTCAAGGGTTGGTGAACTGGGGCTGAGGAAGAAAATCACATCTTTATATTCAGTGCCTCCGATATTTAGCATTTCAGAGCCCCTGTAACCTGGTTTCCAGTACAGGACACACGTTTTCCTGTCACATTAGTCGTAGCTGACTCAGGGTAGCACTTACACTCATCGCTGCTTTCAAATGAGAGTGGTTATCAGACCTGCCACTAGAGGTTGTTAGTTAATGTGCTGACCGAGAAGTGCACATATCACTGTATTGTAGATGCTTCTGTAACATGGCACTAACTGCGTTTCAGTATGATTGGGTTTCCTTTATAAACCTAGTTTGATGTATTGTGTCAGTTATTCTGAGAAGGGATCGTGGCCTTCCCAAAGTGCACAGGAGAAATTAAGAGTCCCTGATAAATAGGGGCTCATTACACGTTTGTTAACTGAATTAAAGAAGGCATAACTGGGGCACCTGGGTGGCTCAGTCGGTTGTGCATCTGACTTCGGCTCAGGTCATGATCTCCCGGTTCATGAGTTTGAGCCCTGCGTTGGGCTCTGTGCTGACAGGTGGGAGCCTGGAGCCTGCTTTAGATTCTGTGTCTCCCTCTCTCTGCTCCTCTTCCACTCATGCTGTCTCTCTCAAAAATAAATGAACATTAAAAAGAAAAAGGGGTTTCTAAAAAAAGCGTAACTAAGTAGCCATTTGGGGAGATGGGGGATGGGCCTAGAAATTCCCCTCTTCCTCAGTTGCAAAAATTGAGTGACCAAGGAGTCACATGCTACTTTCCCTGTGCAGCAGCAGCCGTGGCTTCGCAGAGAGCTGCCTGACTGCCGGCACTGACAGAAGCAGTCACATCTGCTGTCACTCAGTCCTTTCTGCCCGGTTTTCCTTATGTTCCAAAGGTGTACAATATCACAGGAATGGAAAGTTCACACACCCCTTCTTTTCTTGCATTAGTTAAAACGATGCTAGTCGTAGGACATTTGAGTTTCAGAAGAGTTTCCTTGGCAGCCCCTTTGTGGGGACTGGGAATGGTCCCAGCCAGAGGGAGGAGGACACTTGGAGTGGGGTAGAGGAGTGAACGAGGAACAGTATCAGCTAACAGGCATGAGTGGTTTTTTTCTCTCCTTGTGCCCAGCGCTGTGCCAAGCTTTAGATGTGAGTTATCACAAGTATTTCCCCCTCAAGAGCACGCCATGAAAGAAGCCTTGCTCATATCTCCATTAGGAGACTGAGCCACAGAAAGGACATGGCCCTTGCCTAAAGTCCAGCAGCTGGTGAATGGGGAGTGGGTGTGAAAGAGCTGGACCATCACCTCTGCCGGGCCGCTTCTTCGTGCTGGGTGCCCACCCTTCTTCCCCACACCTAGAGATGGCCCAATACAGGGCCGAGCCCTGGGTATGTGCTCCGATAGTACTTACCAGGTGAATGCATAAAGATCAGAAGAGCAGAGAAGAGACATGCCCTTGAACAAATTAAAAGAATAGTGAAAAGTAGGAAGCACATACTGCCTGCTCAGGAAGACTTGACCATCCGGAAGGATGAGTAGTGGTTCACACCTGAAGTACTTGCTGAGCCCTCATGGGTGCAGACCCTGGACTGGTCAGTGCACAAGTGAATAGATGGAGAGGCTTCCCCTGGTGCTGGCAGGTGCACGTGGCACCAGCTGCAGTGTGGGACGAGGGAGGGGGCTTCTGCCGTAGGGACGGGGGGGGGCTGACTTAGAGCCTTGCCTTGCTTTCAGAGCCTCTGTGACCTCTTTCACATCCCAACAAAGGTCCCTTTGGGCGGTGACTTCCTGTAGCTCTCCCTTAGGAAATTCTTAGGCGGCCCTGTCCTAAGATGCTAGAGCTGCCTACCAAGGAAGACATTAGGTTGGGTCCAAAGTAATGACCGGCAGAGCCCCCCCAGGTTCCCGTGGCCCGTGTGAGCAGCCTCTGGTCCTCTCCCCCTGCAGTCACGAGGGTCCTGTGTGGCAAGTGGCCTGGGCCCACCCCATGTATGGCAACATCCTGGCATCCTGCTCCTAAGACCGGAAAGTCATTATCTGGAAAGAGGAGAATGGCACCTGGGAGAAGACACACGAGCACACAGGACACGACTCCTCAGGTACAGGGAGCGCGGTGGGAGCAGGTGGGCGGGGCCTTGCACGCGAGGGGCCTTGCACGCGAAGGGCCTGGGTCTGGCTGAGGCTCACGGGCACCTTTCCCCTCATGATGCTCCTCATTTGTCCCTTAGATTTGGTCGGCTTCTCTGCTGTCTGTCCACAGCAGAGGTAAGGCCCTAAGACCTAAAGCCAGTCTAAAGCAAATTAAGAAAGGAAAAAAAAGGAACATGGTGCTTTTTTTTTTTTTTAATTCATTTTAAGTATTGGCCTTTATGCTCAGATTATTGTCCATCCTTTTTCTCCTAGTTTTATTTTTTTTATTAATGTACAGTTTTATATTGGTTTCAGGTATGTTATAATGATTCAGTACCTCTGTCCATTACTCTGTGCTCATCACAATAAGTACACCCTTAATCCCCTTTATCTATTTCACCCCATCCTACTTTTTGTAAAGGTAGACTATCGTAGGGGGGAGGGGGGGATGGGCATGGAGGAGGGCACTTTGGGGATGAGCACTGAGTGTTATGTAGAAACTAATTTGACAATAAACTATTTGTAAAAAAATAAAAATAAAAATAAAAATAAAAATAAAAAAAAAAATGTAAAAAAAAAAAGGTAGACTATCGTTTATGAAGTTATGATATTCGTAGGTGATGGGTTTTTTAAATCTTCTTAATTAACAAAAGTGAAGCTTCCTCCTGGGAAATCAAAGCCTGCTAACGGTGCCTCCCTCCTGCAGTAAACTCTGTGTGCTGGGCCCCCCACGACTACGGCCTAATCCTGGCCTGCGGGAGCTCGGATGGGGCCATCTCCCTGCTGACATACACCGGAGAGGGCCAGTGGGAAGTGAAGAAGATCAACAACGCTCACACCGTAAGTCCAGAGCCAGCCTGCGTGTGTGTCCTGGCGCCTCCCTAGAGACTGGCAGGAGTCGTGCGGCTGCTCTGCGGGGGCTTGGGCAGGGCTGGTGCCCAGACACGTTCAGTGGGGCAGCTTCAAACCACTTTGCTCTGGAGCCAGACGGAGGCTGCATCCAGGGAGGCCGGGCTCATTCAGCCCAGAGCAGGGTTTGGCATAGCTGCCTTCCTGCAAGCTCCCAAGTCAGGGAGGGCCAGGGACTGGCCAGGTGGCAGCGGCAGCCGGCCTCCCGGCTACCTTTGCTATGGACGCCTCAAGTTAACATGCTTGCACTGGGCATCGGGACCCCCTAGCACTGAGCAGTGTTGTAAAGAGCATCCTATGAATTCATTTCCTTGCATTTCCAGTCATTGGATATTATGGTTGCAATAGAAAGCACTGTGGATGGTGGAGGAATGTCTCACATATTTGAGCCCCTACTGTGTGTCATGTAATCCTCACAAACATTTGTCAATGAAAGAGGAAACTATCAAATTAACAGATTTGCAAAGTAAACAGTGCTGTTCCCGTTTTATGTTGGGACAGATAAGGCTTAGAGAAGGTCCTGTGCCGCCGTTAGAGCGCAGAATCGGTGTGCCTTCTCGCTGTAGAACAGTTCCAGCTTCGGTGGGCCCAGATCCTTCTGCAGTCTGCCCGGATGGAAACTTGGTAGCCCCCAGGCTGCCTCTCAAGGTTAAGAGATCCACAGCCTGCTCAGCCCTCAGGGTCCAGGAGCCTGGCTCAGGTCCTTATTTGAGGTGCTCAGATTCCTGGCTGCTGGCCAACTTGCAGAAGTGAATAGGGGGAGAGGCTTCTAGAAGCTGGTGGGGATGGCATCATAGCTTTTCAGCCTTTCCTTATCCCTCCGTAAAAACCAGCAGAGCAACTAGGTAGCGCAACCAAAGACTCAGTAACAACCTTTGCAGCAGAAGTAGGTAACCAGGTATTTCCACAAACTCCAAATTAGAGGCAGAGAGGAACCAGCCAGCGGCACCGAAGGCTGCCTGGAGTTGGTGTCTGCGCAGGAGGCTGGAGGAAGCGGAGACACGGTGGCCGCCGGGTGCTGCCCGGAAGACGGAGCTGCCAGTGCAGGAGCAGCCCCTGAGACGGAACACGTTTTGCATTTTCTCTTGTTTTTAACTTTTTAAAAATTAATATACAATTTACTTATAAAATTCACCCTTTTTAAAAATCTACAATTCTGTAGTTTTTAGTATGTTCAGAAAGTTGTATGATTGTCCCTGCCGATTTTCAGAACTTTTTCCTCACCCCAGAAAGAAACCTCCTCAGCAGTCGCCCTCCACCCTACCCCCGACCGAGGCAACCACCGACTGGCTTTCGGTGATGGATTTGCTATGCAGGGCCTGTCCTACGAACGGGGTCCTGTAATCTGGGCACACCTCAGGGCCGCTGGGTTTGGTTCCAGACCACTGCAGTAAAGACACTCGAAGGAATTTTTTGGTTTCCCAGTGCATATCAGTTGTATTTACACTGTCCTCTAGTGTATTAAGTAAGCAGTAGTAGCAGTGGCTATAAAAAACAGAGTATGTGCCTTCATTAAAATTTATTGCTGAAAAATGCTGAGCATCAGCTGAGTAGTTGAGCTGTAATGTTTTGTTTTCATTTGGGTTTATTGCTGGTGAAGGGTCTTGCCTCAGTGTTGACGGCTGCTGACGGACCAGGGTGGTGCTTGCTGAAGGCTGGGGTGGTGGGGCGGTTGCTTAACAGGAGACAGGATTGAAGTTTCCCGCATCTGCTGATTCTTCCTTTCACAATTTCTCCCTAACATGCGATGCTATTTAATAGCGTTTTACCCACAGCAGCCGTGGCACTTACCCACTCAAACTTGGGGTCCATCCGCTCCCACCCTGCTGCTGCCCTATCAGCTAAATTTGCATAATATTCTAAATCCTTGGTTGTCGTTTCAACAGTCTTCATAGCACCTCCCGCAGGAGTACCTTGCATCTCAGGAACCACCCTCTTTGTCATCCATAAGACGTAACTCCCCGTGCATTCAAGTACGATCATGCGATTCCAGCAGTTCAGTCTCCTCTTCAGGCTCCGCTTCTATTTCCCATTCTCTGGCTCTTTCCAGCACATCTTCAGTTATTCCTTCCACGCTCTTGTTCATATTCATATTTTGATTTCTTCCCATGAATCACAGATGCTCTTAATGGCCACTAGAATGGTGAATCCTTTCCAGAAAGTTTTCAGTTTACTTTGCCCAGATCCATCAGAGGGATCACCATGGCACCTACAGCCTTACAAAATATATTTCTTAAATAATAAGTCTTCAGAGTCGAAATCACTCCTTACTCCATATGGAAGTTGCTGCATGGCTGTTGTGTTAGCAGCCTGTAGAAGTAAATGGCCTTTTTTCTTAAGCCTTATGAGCCCAGCTCTGCTCACTTCACGCTTGGCTGCTGGCGGCCTCCTCACCTCTCAGCCTTCACAGAATTGAAGAGAGTCAGAGCCTTGCTCTCAGTTAGGCTTTCGTTTAAGGGAATGCTGTGGCTGCTGGCGTGATCTTCTCTCCAGGCTCCTGAAACCTTCTCCTTGTCAGTGGTGAGGTGGTTTCACTTTCTTACCGTTAGCATGTTCACTGGGGTAGCACTTTTCGTTTCCTTCCCGAGCTTTTCCTTTGCACTCAGTTCTCGGCTGTTCGGAGCAAGAGGCCTAGCTTTTTTAGTCCTTCTCAACTTCTGACGTGCCTTCCTCAGTGAGCTGAGTTATTTCCAGCTTTTGGTTTAAAGTGAGAGATGTGTGACTCCTTTCACCTGCACAGTCAGTGGCCGTTGTAAGGTTATTAATTGGCCTAATTTCAATATCTTTGTGTCTCATAGTGAGACCCAAGGAGAGGGCAGGACCTGGTGGAACAGCCAGGTAGTGGAGCAGTCAGAACACACACAACATTTATCAATTAAGCTTGTCATTTTATATGGGTGTAATTCATGGTGCCCCAAAACAATGGCAATAGTAATGACAAAAGACTGCTGATCACAAATCACCATAACAGATAGAGTAATGAAAAAGCTTGAAATATTGTGAGAGTTACCAAAATGTGACAGACACACAAAGTGAGCAAATGCTGTTGGAACAATGGCACCAATAGACTTTCTTGACACAGGGTAGCCACACACCTTCAATTTGTAAAAAACACAGCGTAACTGAGAAGCACAGTAAAGTGAAGCACAGTTGAATTACTGGCGTCTTTCATTTGACATGTTTTCAGGGTTCATATCATAGTATGTGTCAGTGCTTTACACCTTTTCATGGCTGATGTTCCATCGTGTGAATTTACGTATCTCGTTTAGCCGTTAATTGACATCCGCAGCTATTAGGAATAATGCTGCTATGAACGTTCATGTATAAGATTTTTATGAGCACATGTTTTCAGTTTTCTTGGGTTTATACCTGGAAGTAGAATTACTAAGTCAGATGGAAAGTCTCTGTTTAACTTTTGGTGGTGCCAAGTTTTCCAAGTTAACTCTACCATTTTACATGGCTTCCAGCAATGTACAAGGGTTTGGTTTCTCCACATCCTTGCCAACTCTTATTGTCGTCTTTTCTTAGTTACAGCCATCCAAGCGAGTGTGAAGCGGTACCTCATTGTGACCTCCGTTTGCATGTGTCTGGTGATGGATGCGGGTGGGCACGTTTGCGTGCTTGCCGGCCGTCGGTATTCTCTTTGGAGGACTGACTGGGAGGGGGTTAATCCTGTGCCCTACCAGCTGAGTGCAAGCCCCTCACTCTAAGAAAGACTAAAGGGACTTGTAGAAATCTGACCTTTATGACCCACCAAGGCTTGCTTCCACAACAGGGCGCCTGGTGAGGAGAAACTGCTGGAAATCAAAACTTAGCAGGAGAGAGACACAGGAAAAGGAAAGCGAGGATGTAGACCAAAGTCAGGGAGGGGAACAGAGCCAAGAAATCTTGAAAGCAAGTTACCACATTTGTCATCACATCTGTGAACAAAAACAGACTTCTCAACCTAGAAAGACTTCCCTGAACCTCAGTTTTTTAGGAAAACTAATTTCACATAAAAATAACAGAAAAGCATTTGAGGTGAAATTACATAAATTTTAACTCACAAGAAAGGGAAAGTGTGCAGACTGGTCTGGAGGCTGGTGGGCAGCAAGTTACCTTGGAAGTTTCTAACTTCATAGGGGATGGAGTTAGGCAGGCTCTAAGGGGCTTGCTATGATAAAATGTTTCCATAATTTACATTCTTCTGAATGTGTATAATATACATTAGGAAGAGCTTAATCCTTAATTAAGTTCTTGAGTGTTCGGAATGTTTTAAAGATGTTTCTTAGGAAGAAAAATTTTCCAGGGAAGAAGTGTCGAGGAATAGGGGTTGGGGATTCAGGAGGCACTTGTGATGAGCACCTTGTGATGAGGGTGACGTAGGGAAGTGTGGAATCACTGTGTTGTACACCTGAAACTAAGTATAATACTGCACATTAACTAACTGGAGTTCAAGTAAAAACTTAACATTTTAAAAGAGGAATATACAGAATAACATCCTGACAAGCAGTGAAAGAAAGGCATGCCCACAAAATAGACTCAGACTGTCACTATTTCAAATCAAGCTAAGAAACATTTTTTAAATGATAAAAGGTGTGAAAAGATACCAGAAGTCAAAATAAGAAAAACTTCAAAATGAAGTGACAGAATTTAGGAAAGAATTAGAAATGAAAAATTATTTCAGTGATACAGACTAAATTAGAAAGAATACCAGAGCAAATAAACACAACAGATAATACCTTCAAAGAGAAATAGATCATGAAGAAAAGGAAATTTCTTGTTCTCGCTTTGGCAGCATATGTACTAAAATGAGAACAATACAGAGAAGATTAGCATGGCCCTACGCAAGGATGACACAGATTCATGAAGGGTCCCATATTTTTGGAATATTACTCAGCCATCAAAAAAAAAAAAAAAAACCACACCTGAAATCTTGCCATTCGTGGCGA